GAGTTGAAAATGACGGTATAGATTAGGACCCTTAAAATTTCTTATCTGAAACTACTGCAGAATTTCTTTAACGCTACACGTAACATGGTGCAGAATTTCTGCAGCACTTGACGGTACATCGTGCAGAATTTCTGCAGCACTTGACGTTACAGCGTGCAGAATTTCTGCAGCACTTGACGTTACAGCGTGCAGAATTTCTGCAGCACTTGACGGTACATCGTGCAGAATTTCTGCAGCACTTGACGTTTCATCGTGCAGAATTTCTACAACACTTGACGTTACACCGTGCAGAATTTCTGCAGCACTTGACGTTTCATCGTGCAGAACTGTCCGTGGAATTAAACAAAGTTTTGCCCTTTTGATACCACTCTTTTCCTTCCTCCGTGAAAATCGAAGTATATCTGGTGCTATCATTTATGAGACATTTCCGTGCTTTCTGCCTGGATAGTGCCACTTTGAGGTCACCCTCCCTCTACGTCTTAAAAAAAAAAAAAGGTGTTATCCGACGTATTTTTGCGGAATTGACACTAACTGTACTCCTAAATAAACCATTTTTGGCGGAAAACGCTATTTTGGAAAACACAAAATAGTTTGGAAAGCGTTCTCTACAGTGTTGCCTGTAACATTTACTTATTGGGACGAATGCTCAAGGCTATACCATGAATGATGGGCTTTTACCGGCGGGTTCGAGAAGTTGCAAAGATAAGCGTTCAGAGAGACTTAGCCTTAATGTTTTCTCAAATAAGATTGCCGAAGTGAAATTTTAGGTGTTTACGAGTAAACACGTCTATAAGCTTAAATGGCCATGTCAAAGAATAACTTTGTTCAGTTTAAGTATTGCATTGTCAGTGTTACGAGTGTGAGATCATTAGCAATAAAATACCGTGCGTACCACAGAATGACTAGGTCAACCGAGGTGTAATTTCTTTCAACAACCAGTGAATACGTTTTTGCCCATGATTCTGCCGCAAAGAACGTTTATGAATGAATGTAATCGGTAAAAAAGTATATTTAATCCATTTTCATTGGCCTTTAGAGAGATAAGCACAGTGGATTTAATCAATTCTCACTTTAATGCACGTGTGTCAGGGTTGAACCTCTAACAATCAGCTCTTGTTGTGTTATACTTTCTTCTGGTTGTTCTTAGAGCGAAAAATTGTTACAAACTGTTGTTAACGTCAATGTAACAAACACGAAAACGTAATGAGCCGCTATGATTTAAATAAAGCCTCTGTAAGACATTGAACTTAGATGTTAAAGACTCCATACATCCCCGTATGCTCAATGCCTCACCATTGACATGGCTTTGAAATATGTCCCGTTCTACAAGGGTTCATGCTAGAACTGATTTATTATTTTAGATACATATATTTTTGTTAAGACCCTTCTTTTCACTTATTATTGTCACATGTTTCAGTACATTTTTCCTATATTTTATTTTTTTACTTTCTGTAATTGTTATCTGACTCAGCACTAGCATTTCTTCGCTGAACAAATATTTTTATTTTGTTAGAGCTGTTTACATATACAGAGAATAATTACTAATCCATGAAAGGGGCCAAAATATCAGTTTTGTCTTTTTGTTGCCTATTTTCTTATAGATCATTAAACCTTATTTATTTCTCCATTATCTCTACTCTGCCAAGAATACCAGGAAGCAGTGCTCATGCATGATTGTTTCCCATCTCTGTCATGCCTCAACCATGATTTTGACAATGTACTCACTAGAGACTGTTTACTAATACAGAGAATAATCTTAAATCTGGTAAAGGAGTCAAAAAACCACTCTTCTTTTTTGTCGACTCTTTTCAAGTAGATTATTTAACCTTACTCTCCTGTATGGTGATAAGGGAGCTGACCTTTTTATGAAAGGCAACAATGTATCTCTAACATGACTCACAACCATGATTTTGACTATATCATTTCTCAATTATCTCTCTTCTGCCAATGCCAGGAAGCAGTGCTCATGCATGATTGTTCCTACTCATTTCTTACAGAGCTTCATAGTGGATTATTCCAAAAGTCATGTCAAGTTTTATCTAAAGCAAGAACCAAAAAGGCCAATGTGCAACTTTAAGACACCATAGTTTGTCCTGTCAGTTCATTTCAGCCATTTGACTAGCCAGCCTGAACGATGTCTAAAAACACTTAAAACAATTCCCGTGGTGCGATGTTATGAAATAAGAGATTTGACTTCTGTGCAAAGCATTTGTTGCAGTGGGCACACTTGCAAGGTTCTCACACCACTGGGAACTCTGAGGAATTCACCCAAATTCCCTCTCCAGCTTAAACTTCTCTTTTTTTTCTAATTTCCTTTTTTAATTTGTGCTTTTAAAAATGAATAAATTTGCCTTAGAAGTTTTGGTCACTTTTTCACAATGGAGGAGATGGCATCAGGCACTGTTGAGCTGGCCTGTAAACATCAAGCAGATTGGAAATAGAAGCCACAGAGATAAATCTTTGGAAAGGTAACTTTCAGAAAAAGTTGGAGAAAGACAGCTATACAAGAAAAGGAATATAATTAAGCAACATTTAAACCACAAATGCTTAGACTTCAGAAGGGAAATGCCAACAGTTGAGATCAACAAGACTGACCATGGCATCAAGCAGATCAGAACTATGTGCCACAAAGATGAGAAATCTGCTGGAAGATTAGTTGCAGTTGTTATAACATTTATCGTACATTCACTTGTAAAGAAAACCATGAAACCAAACTTTAGGGTTTAAACACTTGTACCTAGTAATATATTGTGACTAGACAATTAAAAAAACAATAGTTTTATTTAAATGGTTGTTCATCCCATCACCTACACGTTTACTTATTTTTAATAAATGTATTCTGATATTTAAATGGATTAGTACTAGTAAATTTTTCTGATTAAACAATTTTTTCGATTTCAGTCATAGTTATTCTTACAAAATACTGACTCAGCACTTGCATTTCTTCGCCGAACAAATGTTTTCATTTTCATAGTAACTGTTTAAAAATACGGAGAATAATCTTTAATTTGTGAGAGAAGTCAAAATACCACTTTAGTCGATTCATTGCCCTTTTTTATATAGATCATTTAACGACCCATACAAGGCAATAAGGGAATTGATCCTTTTATAAAAGGCAACAATGGACAGAATTTTTTGTATCTCTAGCATGTCTCATAGTTACTATTTCAACTATATCTTCCCTTCAACATCTCTTGTCTACCAGGAATACCAGGCTGCAGTGTTCATGCGGGAGTGCTTCCAAAAGAAACTTCCCAAATGTGATTGCTTGAATGTCACAAGAGGAGATGACTACCCGTATGGGATTTAAAATTATTTCTTAACATCTTGGACCATGAAGTTGAGCTGTTCAAAGAGTACAGCATGCCAGGAATCCTCTGGACAAGCTCAAGAAAACAACAGCCATGCATACATGAAAGCAAACAAAGGGTGCCTTTTATTCAGAGGGACACAAACACAAAAAATGCCACACATCAAGTTTACCTATTGGTCAATTCATTTCATAAGTATCATTACATCCTATACACCATGGAATGAAAATGGGGACAACTGCAACCTGCGAAGACAACAATGGACAGAGTTCGTTACACTTAAATGATACCTTTTTCACCATAGTAGTGGGTGCAGCCTTCTACATGTACCTTAAAATGTTTTTTTTCTATTGAATATGAGTTTTCGAACTAACACTATAGAACTCCCACACATGTACTCATTCTTAGTAGTGCACATGTCCTATTTAAAATAGTACTTGTATTTTATCAGATTAAACACATGCATTTTTATTACTGTTATCCTTAATACTGACACAGCACTTAAATTTATTAATTGATCACATATCTTTTTTAGAAGAAATTGTTTACAAATACAGAGAATAATCTCTCCTCTGTGATAGGAGTCAAAACACCAATTTTGTCCATTTGTTGACCCTTGTCAGATATGTCTTAAATTTTTGCAACCTTAGTGGTGATGAGGGAGCTGATCCATCTTTTAAAAGACAAAAATGGAATGGAATTCTTTTTTATCCCTATGATGCCCCATCACAATGCCCTCCTCCAAGGGAAGAGCTACTAGGCATCTAGCAGGAATACATGCACTGACCACTAGTAAGAATGCTACCACTTGCATCACTCAGAATTCTTGTTAAGCACCAAAACCACTTTACCAGTACCAAAAAGGCCATCTTCAGTTCATTTCAGTCATTTGACAAGCCAGCCTGACCTAAGACTTACGAACACTGTACCACACAGAAAATTACAGAGGTAGTCTCCTCAGCAATAATCAGGAAAACCATTACATTTACTTAATCTTTGACAAATTCTCTGTTCTATTTCTAAGGACTCTGTATCCAAGGCAGTACTCAAGACAATCCATTAGAGTTCCTTGGAGAGAAAGAGCTAAGTTTTGGCTATTGTGATCCTTGCAACAGATCTTTAAGAAGTGACCAGAAAAGCTTACATTGCTGCCACAAACTTCTGCCTCAACAACAAAGCTTTCATGAAGCATTTCTATGCTTAAAATTGATTTCCTTGATTTATCATAATTTTAATTGTGCATCAAGTAAGTTGTAATTTTTCTACTGTTAAGGTAAAGTGTAAGGTCATTGTTAAAGTACCATGTAATAGGAAGTGGCATAGCATAATCAAATTTGTTCTTTATTTATTCCTGGTGTATTTAAACAAAGGGTGATATTAAACAATGTCAAGTATTATAAAATTTTATTACACACTTTTCATTTGAAGATGTGTTCTTTCAGTATGCCAGAAGGGAAGAGCCATGTTTGTGATTTTGTTTTATGTATTCTCAATATCTACCTGAAATACTGCAGTTGCATGAATGAGTTACCTCATCAAGGTAGATGGATGTACAGGATGTACACGACATGCAATTGTATGAAAAAATGCATTGAGTTCCAATTTCTGTTCGTTGTTTTAGGAGGCCTTACTCAGGTCAATAGAGGATGCCTCTGGTACCAAATATGCAGTGGAGGCTCTGGGGAACTCATGACCAGGCCTGAGTCCCACAAGAAGGAGCCTTTTGGAAAGAGAGCTAAGAGTTTTCCTTCTCTGCAAAATAATGTTTAATTGTTAGGAGCCTACATGTAGTTTAAAATATATTTGTTAGAGGACGATAAAAATGCTTTTGTCAAAGAATAATCCAAAATAAGATCTTGCTACAGATCTTTAAGATGTGACCAGAAAAGCTTACTATGTCACCACACAGGAATAACTTCTGCCTCAACAGAGAAGTTTTTGTGAAGCGTTTCTATGCTCAAAAGTGATTTCATTGATTTATTATATTTTTGCGTGTCAATTAAGTTGTAAATTTTTGACCATTGAGGTAAAGTGTTAGGTCACATGTAATAGGAGGTGGCATAGAATAATTAAATCAGTTCTGTGAACAGGATGTATCTAATTAGGTATTTCCAGGGCGTTAGGCACGTAGTACCCATGAATCTTTATGGAACAAGCCTTGAATCCCACATGGAATTACATATCTGGGTGTGGATTTCCTTTGCTAATAAATGTAGTTTTTTTTATGGAATAGAAGAGATGGATCATAAAATGGAACGTGTAATGCTGAATTGTCAACAATAACACCCGAATCAAGTGAAAGCATACAGTCCAAGAACACTGAACCAGCATGTGTGTGTAACGAGTACGCTTACATGAATCATTGAGCTTCCTGCGGCCGCATGGCATCTTGGGAACAGCTTCCTCGTGTGTCGGCCATGTTGTTAACATAGTAAATTGTAGCTCTGTTCTTGGGTTAAATATAAGATGATGTTTTGGTACCTGACCGCCTATTTAGCTATCATTACAGTGTGGAATTTTCAGTAATGTATGCAGGAAATTCTGGGCAGAAAGCCTCCAAGAACAATCCTCCTTCACAATCTTAAAACACCTTGGGTAAATATTCACAAAATCTGATGGCTTAATCATTTTCTGGCCAGCTCCCATAGAGAACATTAGCCACATGCGAACTTTCTGATTGTACATGCAGGGGCAGGACAAAATGGCTGACGATGTGACACCTTCTGTCAAGCAATATAAGTTTAGTTACAGATTAAGTATTGATAACATCCTAGTAAACATTAACTGTCGTGAAATTGTAAATGATTGTCATAGAGCATGTGTTAGATTTCACAACTTGTCAACAAAGTCCACAATTGATTTGCTTTGCAAGAGATGTTGCAATTGCATGTGTTTAGTCTGCTAAATAAGGAAGGAAAACCTGTTGTTGGGAAATAATAATTTAATATAGGATTATTACAATAGGGTTTTATTGTACTTGTGATTGTAGGAAAAATACTAGCTTAGATACACAAGGCAAACTATAAATAGTATTGTAGACTGTAGTTTAAGTCAGAATTGTGAAAACCATCAGAATTATCAAGATCATCAGATTGTGAAGCTTAAATTGTGGTGATCATCGCAAATATACCTAGAAAAACAAGATTGCTTACAGTCCTCTTTGATGGAGTTCATCAGCGACTGCAGAGATTCCATGACACCTTCTGAAGCCAACCATGTGAGAAAGCCGCATGCTTATTAGAAAGTATCTGCACGGTAATTTTTCCAAAGGTTGAGGAAAATATAAAAATTGAAAGCAAATTTTTGTCAAACCTGACAAACAAAAACAATACAAGAGTATGAGATGGAATAAAAAACAATGTAAATGACCTTGATATTTGCCACTTCAGGAGAGAGGACAGGAGGATGAAGAAAACCAGAGTGTCGTCAACATACTACAAAAAATATCATACAGCTCATTCAGCTATTTCTAATAGTATCCATACAGGTTTGCTGTTTGAACACCCTCCACAGATACTGAAAAAATTCCGACAATAGAATTTTAAATTTGATAACCAAGAAGCATCATGTAACTGTTTCCAATAAATTTAACTTGTATTTAACTAAAGATCACCTGCTTCATCCTACTACATTTGAGAGGTGAAAACCAGCAGCTAAAGGTAATTAACTCATCACCCTTAGAGTGTGAAGCAGGACAATGGTGTGACTAGTGTTGCAATACTGGGATTTCCAACATTGGATCCCTCAATTTTTTCAGAGACTAAGTTTTAAGTTTGTACAGCTTATTTAATGTCAATTATGCTTTATGTTAATATAATGCTTTCAGAACTTTATATTTATACAGTTATACAAAGGTTTTTTATTTTATCTTACGAGCCTTGAGAGCTTTCTTCTGCTACCTGTCCACAGACAGATAATTATTGTTGTATTACATAACTTCAATCTTAAAATTTCTGTTTTGTATACAAGTCGCAATCATTGTAAATGGCTTATTAATTTTTAATTCTTAACCTGAAGAAGGCCGAATGGCTGAAACGTCATGCATTAAACTCATCCAGAACAGTCAAGAGTTGGCCTCTTTGTTACATCCTTATAGTACACTTAACTACAAATTCATCAACCAAAAATAGAGCGAGAGAGAAAAAGAAAGACATACCCACATCATTTACAGCACTTGAGAACGACAAACAAACTCATAGAAAGGAACAAATTGAAATGACATGAAGAAATTCACTGCAGTAATTTCCATCTTCCGGGGACTGAAAAGAAATCAGGAATTCTGGACTATTGAAAACACTTACTTACACTCAACTGAGTTGGTAAGTATAATGACAATCACTCTCCTGCTCCCACCCAGTCAGTTAAACATAGTTTTTATATATTTTATAATTACCATGTTCATGTTCCGATGATACATGAAAATAGGTATTTTCATGTTCTCGATTAAGGCCATGCTTTTACAAATACAAGTACAAGTGCAACTGAACAGATCACACAATATTATTATTGATGCTACAAGTTAACCAGTCCATCTATTCGACACTGAAAAGAAAAATATTAATGTGGATAGACTGTTAAGAATCGACAAATTGTAATTATTTAGCCGTTCAATGATTAACTAGTTGTCTAGGTGATTTTCACGAATTTACCACTTAGTTGTATCGTGGGCGCATTTTTCGCACGTGTGAGACGAAGGAAGACATGCTGATTTGTGAGACTTCGCTGTTCGTTCTAACGTGAAATTAAAAGGTGAAATTTATTGCTCTGTATAATGACCCCTTTGGATACTGACCGTTCTGCCGATTGAGAACATAGATAATTTCACTACTTCTATTAACTAAAGTAATAATCCAAGATGAGGGAACATGCTTAGTGATGTTGATCCCAGGCTCTCTCTATTTTGGCACATTGGTGAAGATGTCCCATTCATTCATTCAATCATGGTTGTCCCATAAAATTCTAAATTCTAATCCCGTTAAAATGCATTATTTTTGCATCAGATGCAATAAGAGTGTTTATGAAGTTAATCTTGAGTGCTTGCAATAATTATAATTATTATCGGACATACCGTGAAAAGCGTAACAGAATTACTTATTTTTCCGGGCGCCATATATGGTGCTGGTAGTTGGTAGAATTCGTGAAATCGAACGGCTGATTCCATCGGCGGATTTATCGGCAGAAGTTGGAAATGGCTGAGGTTTCTGTGAGTTTATGCGAGTATGTAACTTTGTTCTTAAAACAGATTTTGCTATGGTTGCAAAACTTGGACAAGTGAAAAGTGTAAAGAAGTCCAAGCTCAGACAAGCCCTGAGAACCAAAGTCAATTCTATGAAATTTAGTGTGTCCAACTCAGGATATTTTGTTAGCAAGACATGTTAGAAATGGAAATGATTATACATAGGTATGACCCTGTTTTTTTTTTTGATCCTGTGTTTGTAGCTGTGCACCCATAGGTAAATTACATGGTTTACTTGACAGGTGGATAAGGCTAAGAAGAAGCAATCAGCTCAGGTGGCTTTGCCAGATGAAGCACAAACTGAAAATGATGAGTGTACTCAGCCTGAAAACAGTGATGGTGGTGATACTGAAGGTGTGCTTTTATCTGATAGCTGATAGCTGATGTAGCAGTGCCTCTTCCCCTTCAACCTCAATGCTGCCTTCATCCGAGGAGGATTAGAGCCATAACACAGAGTCCTCATTTCTTGTTAAGATTATCACTTTAGGGCCAGCTTTTACTTCTTAAAGCTCCTACTGTTAAATATTTCTTTTTCCTGCTAAGTCAAATTTGTACTTACTGTTGTCCTGTCTGAGGATTTTGTGAGGTAAGTTAACATGCGCAGGTTTCTTTACATTGTACCAGTTTTCTTAATTACTAAAGATGTCAGCCTATTTCATTGCCAGGTGTTAGGCAGTCAAATCTTGTTCTGTAAATTATTGTCATTTCTGAAGGAAGACATTAAAACATTCATTATTGAAGTGATTTAATTTCTGAACATCATCATTATTTCTCAGTTTAATAGACTGGCACACATAACTACAATGCAACCAATGAGCTAATTTAGTAATATTGAAGATATATGCCAAGAAGAAAAACAACTGATGTGACACCCACGACAACCACAATAGAAAGAAATCCAAACCCAGATATGGCTCTACTAGGAAAACCACTTATGGAAATGGAAACAATTTCATCAATGTTAACAATCAAACCATGAACGTTATCATAAATATCATTAAGTGGTACTGCTTAAAAACCAACAATGGTTACACATCAAAACCCAGAAATGTTCAGAGAAAACCATTCATGAAAATATACATAAAAGATTAGAAGAACCTTCCATGTTCTCTTAAGAAAAAACACCAATGTGTTTAGTTACAAACCAAAATGGGAATATCTTAAAACTCAAAAATGTTTTCAGGATTAACATTCATGGAAATGGAGGAAAATCCCGTAATGGTAATAATAGAAACAAATGTTAAAAGGAAAAAACCCATGACGGGATTTGCTTTTTTACCACTAATGGTATAACTCAAAATCACAATAAAGGAAAATTTATTACCATGAATTTTTTCTGTATAAAAAACATTAATGGTTTCAGTTCTGCTTTCCATTAATGTATTTCAACATGTTATTCTATCATTTTCCATTAAAAAAAACAAGAATTATTTTTAATTTTTTCCTTGTGTCACTGACCTGTCAAATTGGCAGGAAAAGTACAGAGCAACATGGATGTTACGAATCAAGATCTATTAAGCTTAGTTTCAGTGATTCTCCTGCTTATTATACGACAGTCCACCATAAATATAACAATTCAGCAGTTTTTTGCGAGAAGACACTGATGAAGGCGTGAAATTAGCCAAGTGCATTGGAGGTCATCTTAAAACACTGCAGGCGATTTCCTGAATTAGCTATACTGCTCTATGATTGGCTGAGCAGATAAACCATACTTTTCAGTTCAGGAACTGTCATGGGAAGTTCTTTTGTTCTTTTTGATATATCCATGGAATTAACCCTAGCACAGGTTTGGTCTGGGGAAAGCCATTACACACAAAAACGTCCTTTAAAGGGTTAGTGTAAGCTCAACTAATGCTTTCAAAACTCTATATTAATACAGTCATGCGAAGTCCCTTTTTTTCTGACACAAACAAATTAGTCAAACTTGGTTACTAAGTCTCATGGTACTGTACCATTGACCATAGAAGACTGTTCACGTGTGATCAAAATAATGAAAGCCATAACCTCGCCAGTATGACATCCACCAACCAAAAATAGAGAGAGAGAGAGAGAGAGAGAGAGAGAGAGAGAGAATAACTATAGCACAGAGCATAACATCCACTCCCTTAACAAATGACACCAACAGGATACTAGAACAGATTAAGACCAACATCCAACAAGTCTTCAACACCACCAAGACAGACATAAGCAAAAGTTTGAGAAACTTATTCGAGAAAAACAGGTGGCTGTGTCACCTGTTGATACACCATATGTTGACAAAACTAACTGGGCTATTAATTTAATTTACCTTCTAGGTCCCTTAGTGATGCCGAGATAGCCCTACTAAAGAAAGGACTGAACTATGCTACAAATATTCCTGCCACAAAGATCATTACCAAGGTCAAAACAGCCATAAAACAACTCAACACTGAACAAGCAGATACTGTCAGAAGAGCTGTTAACAGTATCCTTCAACAGGCAGAACCACTAGAGCCTAACCACAGCCTTTTTCACAAAACTAGTTTATATCTATTTTATAATTGCCATGTTTATGTTCCAATGATACTGGAAATAGGCATTTTCATGTTCTTGATTAAAGCCAAATTTCTTTTATGATTAATAGACTTCTTTACTTTGTGTTACTGAACAGATCACACAATATTATTATTAATGCTACAAGTTAACCAGTCCATTTATAGGACACTGAAAAGAAAAATATTAACGTGGATAAACATTTTTACTATTTCTATTAACTAAAGTGATAATCCAAGATGAGGGAACATGCCTATTGATGTTGATCCCGAGCTCTCTCTTCTTTGCCAAATTGGTGAAGATGTCCCAAGATTCATTCATTCATTCATTCATTCATTCAGTCATGGTTGTCCCATAAAATCTCAATTCTAATCTCCATTAAAAGTGCATTCTTCTTGCATCAGATACAGCAAGAGTTTTTATGAAGTCAATATTGAGTGCTTGAAATAATTATTATGTGTATATGTAACTTTTTTCTTAGGACAGATTTTGCTTTGGTTGCAAAACTTGGACAAGTAAAAAGTGTAAAGAAGTCCGAGCTCAGGCAAGCCCTGAGAACCAAAGTCAATTCCATGAAATTTAGTGTCCAACCCAGGATATTTTGTAAGCAAGATTAATATGGCTGCCTTTACATTACTGGGATTGTGGTAAGATGGCACAATTTTGTATGATAGAACTTCCTGTAAGCAGACACTCTTCAGATGAGAAAGGATCTCTACTTAAGAAGATAAAGGTGAATTTTTTGTAAGTGGTTGGCTTTATAAGCCACATAATATAACTATATCAACTTGACTAATTCTCACCTTAGAAATATGAATTTAAGCCATAAGTTTTACTGAAGCAGTATAGAAAAGTAATTGAAACCCGTTCAAGTTAGTGAATTACATTGTTTTGCGTCTATGAATCCTAAATCACAAGTAAATTAAATATCAAGTCTTTTTTAATGGGCAAATTATCTACTGGTGGTTGATATATCAGTAATTGATCATTTCTGTTGTTTCTTATTTGAGAGTACAAGAAAACATAAAGTTGCCCTAAATAGGGAAACCACAAAGGGGAAGCCACTGCAGCTAGCTAACTGCAAGAACTTACTTTCTTTATTAAAGTTTTTATTCTAAATTGTTTTCTATCATTTCCATGTTAACTGACAGTACTTGTTGTCACTTCCTTTGGATACACATTGAAGAATAAATAAATGGAGTCATTTGAAACTCAGTCTTTTATAAGTGACAAATTTATATAATTGCGTGTAATGCTTACAATCACTAATCCAGATAGAGGTTGGTGCACAAATATATAAAGTATTGATCAGGAGAGGAACAATACATTAATTTAAAGCATGTAGACTATTAACAGTTGCAGAGCAACTGAAACTGGCCTCCCTTGTTGATTCATGTATTGCAAATAGCTAGGCCAACTTTGTAACTACTTCAGTGAAATGGAAAAAGCCCAAGAAAGCTCAGATGATAAACAAAGAAGAACCTACAAAATAAAGCAATCTTTTAAAAAGTACAGCTGCTCTTCTTGTAAATACATAGTACAATTATATTTATCATGATCTCTCCATGGGAAAAATATTTTCAAATACATTTCTAATCTTTTTGAGAAAAGCAACCAGAGCTGCTGCTATCAAACAATGGCCAGGCACCAGAATACTATGGCATTAATTAATCAGACAAAGAACAGAAAGAATTCAAATGAATTTTACTAAACAATATCAAAGAATGTTTAAAGATAATTCAGGTGGTGCATGTTAAATGTTGATTCAAGTTAATTTCCACATGACCTTTGCACAAGTGATCATGAGAAGTTGGCTTGAATTTACTGGTTTGGGCATAAGTTAATACGAGAATCGTTACTTTGTTATTATTTATAAGGTGGTGTCAAGAGAAACCTTCTTTGGCCACCCTAAAGGAAAAACCGCTGCTGCAGATGCTTCTTAATGGTTGCAGGAGGCTTTGACAATAAGTTTCCAACTGGAGATGTTGCGTTTTAAGTTTATGGAAACCTTAGCAATAATCCAACATAGTTGGTAGGCTTTGATAGCGGCTACTAGGCGTGGTAAGGATGGGGTTGAACGGAGTCTCCGTAACACAACACCGCTCCAAAACGCGTCACGTTATGTACTCAGGGCGAGTCGCCTTCGCCCTCAAGAAATCGAGGTCTTATCCGGCACATTCGAGTATTAAAAAGGCATCGAAAGCAATGAACGCTTAAATTTGTAGTTATCTAAGTGTTTCTAGATCGTTATGTTTACGTTGCTGTCGTCCAAGAATTGTGGAACGACCTAACGTGCTCCAAGCTCTAAGGATTTGGCTCAAATTGGCCGATTACATATACACCTGTATTTCTTGAGAATGAAGATATTATGTTTAACGAAAGGAACTTTTTGACGTTATAATTCTCGCCTGTTTCTAAAGTTCAAGAAACATTCCTCACCTGGTACATTTCCTCTCGTGATCGTGTCGGCGGCTCCATTTCCGAGTGGTGCATATGGAGCGCTGTTGTCCTATAGATGGCTACGATTCTTCTTCCATAGTCTTGATAACCCATTTTTTTTCGATCAAACAAAATTTTCATTAAAACCGCTCATGAAGTAAGCTAAAAGTCCGCTGAGAGTGTCGCGTACGAGACTAAAACTATTTCGCAAGTTCACCTCGTGGGTCACGCTCTTGATCGGCTTTGCTCACGCGGCCCTAACTCGTAGACTAATCACAGCGTGGCTACAAACTAACCTTCTGTAAGGCAGGATAAAACGGTGCTCGAAGTAAGATTTGTTTTTTCTGGAGCACGGCTGACGGAGGGAGGGATAGACATCGTTGGGGTTGGTCGGGCCTTCGCTAGCGCGAACTTTGCGCATACTCGAAACCTTCGCGTGGTGCACTTCTATGAAGGCTGTAAGGGCATGCGCATTCCCAAAGTTTATGGTTTGAAAGTGTTCGTAGGAAAACGAGCGCAGTAAAGATTTCAACATCATGGATAATGTGCAAACCTATCCCTCTAAATGAAATTCCACAAGGATTTACCACTTTCAGTTCTTTGACATCAAAAGTTACTATCTTCCTTCTTTGCCTGGATATCATTCTTTTTTTCAAATTGCAAGAGGGTTTTGATCATCTAATTTACGAAGGAAATTCTGTGAGAAAACTTTTGAAAAACGAGCTTCCACAAATATTCAAATATATCATAATTTGTATGAAAATAAAATCAGAACTATTATTGAACAAAACAAACTTACCTCTCTTTGGTGGTAGTTTTCTTTGCATCATGCGAGTTTCCTTAGGACCGTTTCACTCGGTTTCAGGTCACTTGCATTGCCTTCATCCAAGACAGACGCACAAGCCCAAAAGTCATCTTTATTGCAATTTTTTTTAATAAGGTTCACGTTTCATAGCTAATCAATTAGAACTTTCGCTTTCTGAACATCTGTATCAGGAAAGATATCCAGTTCAAAGCGGGAACACAAAGTGAAACTCCCCCGACCAATTGTGACTTCTGGCCAGTGTTGTGTATTACCTCAAGAGAATGTAATCTCTTAATTACCTTTAATAGGAAGATTTTTTTTTAGCACCTTCTGACCACGAACGATTTAAAATACGGAGCCAGTGATTCAAGACTCAATCATGAGACAATAATTCAAGAGACCAAATTCCTATTAGAAAAACCCTCAATGTGATGACCCTTTTGAAAATAAATCTATATAAATACATTGATAATTTGTGAAAAATCGTGAGTGTGGATCAAAATGACGGTTCCCAGAATGGTACATCTAAGGATATAACGTGTAAATACCTAAAAACATTTGTTGCTTTACATTTAAATTATTGCACCAGTTTATCTTTACAAATATATTTTAAAATATAGTTTTAAAGAGGATAGGTGAAAAGGTTTCCCAATGTAAAATTGCCCAAATAAGACAACTCGACTAGGATTGTCGAGAATTGTTAGAGTTGGCCTTGTTTGTCCATGGCGGTTTCGAAAAAAAGCAAGAATCAAGCAGGCCCCATTGAATTATCCAGACCCACAAATGGGTCTGTCCACGACAAATCTGCCCGTACTAAATATAAATATGGCTTAGATGAAATGAGTTTATTTATTCTATCTCTTCTATCTAGAGTAAAGTGAAGTTGGACTCGACGACCTCACGCACTCTTCTTGTAAAATAATATCAAAGACAGGTCTATCTAAAATAATACGGCTGTCTGCACACTGGACCCTAATGGCGAGCCTATTCACGACGAGTTCGCAGTTCTCCGACTGTTATGCAACCTCCTTGCTCTCATCATTCCTTGATATGTCGACATAAATTTGTTTCCATATCCGTAAAATTTGGAAGAGCTCCAGTCTCGACAGTGTTGAGCTGACAGTCTAACTTCTTCATAATTCTTTGGTGTCCGTCTGGTGTATTGAGGTAGAATTTCACTAGCTTCAGCTGATAGCGCCTGTAAAACAAAAAGTAACACACCGTTAACCCAAACATTTTGATGCAGCTGAGACACAAATACTTGGAAAGTTCGCGTTCAGTCTGAGCTAATAGTCATGAATGCGTATGAAGCATGAGAAACGCGAGCCAGCGAGGGGTCTGGCACTGATATTGAGACCAGACCCCCAACAAACCTCTCCCCGACTCGTCTCAAATCTTCCCGCAGGCGAAGAATCGCGCGCCCTTCAGCGCTAATTGAGAGGGCTTGCTCACAGGCTAGGACAATCATTCTGTATTGTAGACTGTTACTTAAATAGAGTTCAAAAAAATTCCTGTTTTTCAGGCAAAATTTCACGATGTGAGTTGTTGCTACAAAACAAAGACGACCAAAGTCTTACCTTTAACCAGATCACAGCATCTGTACCAAAACCTTCCATGGAATAAAGCTGCATATCTCCATCAAAATATCTGGCATAGAGTCTTGATAATGGCAGCCCGTATCCATAGCCGGCCTGGAACGATATAAAAAACATATCAACAACGGATCTGAGCTGGCTTATCAAGACCTTTATTGTTAATTTTCTATAATCTCATTAGCCATCAATTTGATGCCGTTCCAAAATTGTTACGAGGATTCAACTGCCGATCATTTCCAAGAGTAAAGATTAAAATATGGTTTTTAAAGTTTTTTCCTCTTAGCCGACATTTTAAATGAAACTTACGTTTCGGCTGTTTACGACGGTTTTTTATTATTGATAAACACACTTTGAAAGTAATCTTTCATTCCAAAAACAGTGCCCAAGATTTCGAAGTTCCATTTACTTATTATTCCGTAATCTACTGGTACCTCAAATAGGCGCTTATTTGAGGAAATGCGGTTTTTCAATAACTTCACATCTTGAAGCGTACATGGTTGTAATTGAAATTTCACATTGTTGGAAATTGTGTGTTTTCTTACCATAGGGGCAGCAGAACCAGCTTTCAGTGGCTCTGGTGCCGATGTATAATGATACTCAAACACTTGATCAATTGTACTCTTTGGGATTCCACCTCCTTGATCAGAAATCTAAACAGGCAAAGGGAAAAGAACTCTAAACTTAATGACAACAACATTGGGGCATTCTACATAATTGAACTCAAGCATTAAAAAAAGAGTCAAAGTTCGGAAAGCAATGATTAAATCACAATACAGCTTTCATAAAAATAAAAAAAATAGTTGGACAATCCTATTGCAAGTAATGTGTGGAATTAGTCTTCATCAAAGGTTACTTTCAAATCATGCACATGTATATTCATGAAATAATTGTACCCAGTGAGAACTGTGTTTATAAAATAAATTGGCTACCATAAAGATTTTCTAAAGCTGATGTTTTGAGAATTAGCACTCTCAGTCAGCTCAGACAAAGGGCCAACTCTCAAAATGTCAACTTAGCCCTTTACTCCCTAACATCAGTAATCATATTCTCCCTACTGTTCTCTGTACATTTACTAAGGTGCTGACAAGGAGAACTTGTTTAACAATCAAGAGTTTCTTTAGCTGGTGATCATTTCCTTTATTCTCATAACATTAATGTGTGATTCAGTGGTGATATTGTAAAGAGAAATTGGATGCTGGTCACTCTTAGGGGTTAGAGGGTAAAGAAACCCCTCACAGCCTAAATTTAAATTATCAATTCAGTTGATAAAACCGAAAAAAGAGAACAAAAAGTTTGACTGTCAATGTAGGAGCCTTTGAAGAGTTCTCTTTTCTGAAGAGTTTATTACATGACAAGCATGTTTAATGAAGCTAGGCAACATCTAATTAATGGCACACAGAATAAGGTAGTGCTTCAACTTTGTGTGTAAACATCCTTATCTTTCACTAGGAATAAATCAAACAAATCCAAAGTTCGGGAATTGTAAGTGAGTCTAGGAAACTACATGTAATGCTGAAGGCTGGCAAAACAGGCTGCTGAAACAGAGTTAAATTGATGCTACCTTGATTGTCATGTCATGTCTTCCTTTGGTTATCATGATCTTTAAAGGAGGAACATCAGTACTGCTTCCATGTTGTTCCACAACTGCACGCATGGCATTCTTAAATAAAGAGCAGTAATGAATATCAGTTTTTAAGCAATGATTTATCATTTTAATTGCCATAAGCAGCCCACTTGTTAAAGCACAAAGTTGTATTGCAAACTTGATTAGCTAAGTTCACACCCTGAAAAATTAAAAGCATATTTCAAAACCATTTAATGCCACTTTCCCTAAACCTGGTAAGGGCTGACAGTTAAAATGAGTATTCTTTGCGAAAAGAATGAGACTTATTTTTGAAATAGTGGTGGATTATTCAACCCAGTGAAACTTTGTCACATTTTAAACAGTGTGCCAAGAACATACCTTCATTAATTCAAAGAGCATGTGATACAAGTGTCCAGGAACATAGGCCATTTGGATGGGTTTTTTAAGATCAACACCTAAATGGAAAAAATACAACCCCGATTTACTTCTTCAACTTGAAAGTCATTACAAGAACAAAAGTAATTGTTACAACAAGGAATTCTGCTATTCTGAAAAAATGTACATTTTTTAGAGACAACAAAGTGTTCGTGGGGAGTCACAAACTGGATGAAATTAAAAAATAGATTCCATATTGCTATTTGTTGGTTTATTAATAAATCACAGATGGGGTTGATGTAGCCAAGTGTGTCACTGATGTTCCTACTATATTCTGACCTCTTCTGAGATCTGTTATTGAACAAACCCACAGCAATATGCATGGAATCTAACTGTTTTGTTTGATAAAAAATCAAAATGTTATTAACTGTGATGTCACCTAAGCATCTGCCCTCCAGTGGTGCATAAGTGGGAACCAATCAAAATGTATGTAGGATTCAGTTTATGGTATAGATCTATTTTTGTATAAATGATTGCACGCATTTATGTTAAAAGATAGTTTGAGAGAGGAAAGCTTACCATTAAACTCAGAAATTTCCACCCCAGGAGCAGCACAATAATAATGTTCACAGAGGTAGGCAGCATTATTTACAGCATCTGAGAAAATAAGAGGAGGTATTTGATATTAAGCATGGTATGACTTTAGACCCATAACTGTGTGCAGAATATTCTACTGACTACATTCCTATGACTGTTGATCCAAACAGGAGTTTGGAGCCTTGGTTTCTGAGAAAGTAAACAAATCTCAAGGGTAAGGACAAGAATCAACAGAATGTTCCACTCACATGTAATGTCAGGGGTGAAAATTGAACCTACACTACACCAATAGATGGCAAGTGCTCTACACACCCCACTATCTGTGTTCACCTACTCTGTGATGGACAAAGATGCTTAAAAACGCAATGCAACAACATCAAGTGTATCAAATACCTTCTACCACTGAAGCAACATGACAGTTTGGGTCAAAACAACCAATAAAATTGCTCTTGGAGCTTCTTGCATCTTGACCAAACAGCACCACTAGTAAATGAAAATACAAGAAAGAGAATGCTAAGGTTACCCTCAGTTTTATTCCAAAAACAATTATCCCCTTCACTTCCAAGATCTAAACATCATTTCCCTGTATGCTCTTCCACATACTGATATTTCTCATACTCAAGCTTAAAGAATTTGGTGTTAGATCAACTAATATCTCCTTGTTGATGTTGTTGTTTTTTCTTTCTTCCCATCATGAAACTGGTTGAGAAGGTATTGGCATTGAAATGTCTATGTTAAAGGGGGTTTTCAATTTTTCATTACAAATTCTAGTAATTTTATTATTTAAATCCAACCCAAAACACTTAATTTAACCAAGGTCTTGATTTAAGAGTGCCAATAGCCGGTCTGTTGTGTAATCTATTCACAATACTAGTAAAGATATTGATGCAATTAAGATCAATCAGAGGCTCCTTGGATCTAGTAGAAAATAATTAAAATTTTTTTACTCTGCTTTTGCAAAGTCGATCAAATCCTAGGTTTTCACAACACTGCAACTGCAAAGTTGCAAGTAGGTTGCATAAAGCTCTTGCCTCCCAATTGAAAACTTCCAAACAAGGGCTCACTTAGATTCATATAAATTCAACCAGCACCAAGCTTATCAGCATCCTCACATAGGGAATACATCAATGCATAAGGTTTAAAAATTGGAGGTAGTTTAAAACTGATTGAACAAAATGCCACTAAAAAAGAGGACAGTCTTGTTGCTAACAAAACTACCACATATTGGTTTAGCATGACTACATCATACAATGAGGTAAAAGCAATAAATAAAAGTGTACTTACAATGCTGAGTGATAAGCATTCGTATACTAATCCGATTCATGTAAAAACGATCTGTCAATAAAAAAACAGGGTGATCTTTAATCAACGGGAATTGAAAAACTATCTGCTACCATACAGAATTCGACCACTATGCTTGTAATTGAAGCAATATTTGGGAAAAATATTTTTACTGACAAATGAAAATTCATTTTGTCAAGGAGATCAAGATAAAGAAAGATTCTGTTTCATGGCATGAATTACCTTTCTGCTTTATGCAGTTTCTCTACCTGAATGATAGCTAATTTTTTAGTGCTTAAGGAAAATATTATATACAATATTAGTCTGAACAAAAAACAAAAAAAGCTTTCTTTAAAACACAACAATAAAATGTATGTTTACCTAAAAAGTATTCTATGGATGGATGAAATGCACCATCTCCGTCCCTCTCTCTTAATTCCATAATTCCCTGAATTATAAAAAAAATTAAAATATGATTTGAGCACAACTTTGAAGGTGTAAAGGTAAGATATAAAGGTGGCTTATTCAATTGTTAAGGAAATGAAAATGAAATATAATACAAACGAAAGTTATAATGAGTTGCACCAGCATAAACAAATACCTGAGCCATTGTCTCAACAACATTATCATGCCTCTGTTTAATGTGCTTCAGACTTTGGGTATATCTGAAACAAACATGTTAGAAGGCCATTGTTTATTTTCCATGTTCCAGACCTTGTCAGAAAAGAGTTCTTCAGCTGCTTGTCAAATACTTCTTTACCACCACACTCCTCTACTAATACAGTGCTCTCCTTTTCAGGCATTAACTGGTAAAATTCAATTGCTTGGAATTTATAAAATTTCAACAGGTATAAGGATTGCTCTACTGGTTTAAAATTTTCTTTAACCTGTCATGCTTAAAATACGAGAGAACACTGCTTATGACTGCCTCCCAGTTAGCCCAATTGGTTAGAGTGCCGGACTGTTGTGCGGCAGGTCAAGGGTTTGAAGCCATGGCTGGACCAACACTCAAGGTCTTAAAATAACTGAGAAGAATTTGCTACCTTTCTATAATGCATTTAATTATTATAATACATACATTTTAGTCTTCTTGATAAAGACGAATAAACCATAGGTCCCATCTCCTGCATCTATTGATAATTTGGTTAGGCAGGGGACATTAAAGAACCCACTCATGAGATTACTGTGATGTGGTCTGGCATGTAAAGAATAGTGTAAAATAGATTGCAGGTCCACATCAGCAACAGCTGCCATTTATTCAACCTGCTTTACCAAATAAAGGATGTATGTATACATGTATGCATGTTACTGACACAACATTACCTATTCGAAACTTCTTCTGTTTCTTGTTCATCTTGGAACTCAATTAACTCACTAAAGCTTTGAACATACCTAAAACAGGAAGGAAACAAACCATAAATCAACTCAATAATACATAAATGAATACTTAAAAAATTATTCACAATTACGGTCCTGATGCAATGAAGCTATAGCGGTTTGGAAACTTGGACAAAGTAATGCCTTTCATTAGCTTGCATTTACGTGACAATATTGCCAGATAGCTTTTCCACAAGTAAAGACATCTCCTTTAAACGTTCCTCTTGGGCATAGAAAGGGATAAAAATACAAGTTCTCCTTTACAATTTTGGATCAACTCTTTTGAGTTTATGATCAGTTGCTTTATCTAGAGAGGGAGGCACAATAACAACAATAACTTTGTCTCAAGAGGGAGGCTCTACCTTTCAGAGCTATGGAGAACTTGCCCCAGAGTAGATTGATATATGGCAGTCGATATGCACAACATCAATTTGAAGTACTACATCAAAATAACACAGATTAACCTTTTCACCCTTTCGAGTCACTAGCATTTAATGTCTGCTCACAATATCACCCCTAAATCACACAATAAGGTCACAAGAACCGAGAGATGATCATGAATTAAAGGAGCTTTAGACTGTTAAGCAAATTCACCACGTCAGCACCACTTATAGAAAATATGGATACTGGTTTTTAGGAGTAAAGGTTTAGTACTTACCAGCTTCTAACTAGCTCAACTGAAGGCATCTTAAGCAAATTCTTAGGAAGAAGATCAATCTCACGAATAATGTGTGCAAGTCGCACAGGTAATTCATGTCGACCAAACTGGAAAGATTCTATGGGTTTTGCGGTTTTGCCTGTAGTGGGAAATAAAACCAAAAATTTATTTCCCCCCTTGCAGTTTGACAAAATTTTTAATTTTTATTTTCAACAACCAAGAGAGGGAAACTTTTCAGATTTCTTAAAATCAAAAGCACCCATGATGGTGATTAAAGCATAGTGCATGACCCCCAGGATGACAAAGCATTAAATCTCACTTTTTTTGAAGACAGTTAAATGTGCAAGACTACACAGTGTTATTGGTAACTATAAAAAAAATAATGTATCCTAACTACATTTAATCATAACTGACTTGCAGTTTAAAAATATTCTTAAGCTATTTCTTTTACATAAAGGGCCTCTTGGTTAGCACCTTTTTCATAAAGGTTTCTCTCCCATAGAATAATCATGACATTGCAAAATGAAGATGTGCAATTTGATATTGTTCCACTATTTATGCCTTAGTCTTAGATAAATTAACATGCCATTTATCTCTGTGAGTTTGTGTGCTAAATAATAAGGGTTTAAAACATAAAATGGGAAAAACATTGCACTGATGCACAGAGGAGCTCCACTAATCATCAAAAGCGTACGCATTGTTGGATGAGTAAAATCTTGAAGTTTTCTCATAATTGTTTCAACAAAACAATTATATAACTACAACAAAAAAATTATTTACAGTATGGAAATTGGGTCTCGGTTATTAAAATCTTCAAGTAACTTGTAGATCAGATAATTTTTTGACAAGAGCTAGTTTTACTGGAATACATCATAAATAAAGCACATAATTTATACTTAAATTTTAATAATGTTTACAGTGTATGAAAGCCAAAACTTTTTGTTCAGTGAGTAACATTTGTAGGGCAAACTTACATTTTCAATAACATGGTAAGGAACTGACAATAAAACATTTTGAGGGAATTCACAAAATTATGGCGGGGCAACTGAGTAAACATTCAAGGTATTGAAACCATGTCAGAAACCAGGTTAAAATGAGAGACCTTTAACGACAGGAGTTATATTGTTGACTGAATTTCACATAAAAACAGATGATGAATCATGATATTCAACCTCCGGACCATCATATGACGTAAAAGTAATCGAAAATCGGATGCGTTTCAAACATAAACACGGAAAAAGGGGCATTCTGGGGGCGCCGTCCACTACGTCAGGAAAGTAAATGACCTTTAAAGTGAAACACGATTTCAGATAAACAGACCCCCCCGTAACTTGATTTGATGATCAATTCACCGAAAAAAACCTGAAGCTTTCAAAGCGGAGAATGTATAAATTTCGATCTCTTTAATCTAGAAAACATGATAAAGGATTGTTTTTTTACGCGCGAATAAGCGCGCGAAAATATCCATCAACAAAGGTGGGGAGGGTTAATTAAAAGAAAACGTGTTTGCGAAAAAATCTGGCCGAAGTTGCATTTAGGCAGAGGTTACCGTAGAGCAGATTTAAAAGCAATTGCGCTGCTAGAGCGAACCAAACAAATGGAGAAAAATGACTCTTACAAAGTAACGTAATTGATGTAGTTTTTCTGACTGATTGTCTATCTGTGAAACGGTGTGGAAGAGATCGTAGTATTGAAAATGCGTTTTCATCTCCAAACTGATCCATTCACTTAATACCGTTAATTGTTATGAAAAGACGACCTTTACTCCTTAATAAAGAATGGAAAATCTACTGTACTCACCGAAAGTCGTGAATTGCTCAATCGACAAAGAAGATTGTTGGTATCGACTGAAGCGTTGTATGAGCTTAGTGACATCTTCGCATAAAACTCTCGTGATCCGCATGATGAAATGTCCTATTATCCTCTGGTAGATAAACTATTTTCCCTCTCCTTTTCGATGCTCATACTTCCTCCCACGGCACCTCAATAGGAATACAAGTGATTCTCAAAACAATTTAGACATATCGGACTTTGCTCACTAACCTACAACAAGCGGGCAACAAGTAAGTATATGGAGATTGTGTGCATCTTCTAAGGTGAATGTGTCACATGAGCTTTTTAAACCAATCAGAGTGCAGATATTGTCCATGACAAGCGTCATGCACGCTCGCCGGTTTTTGAACAGGGGAAGGGTGATGGGTATATTTTTGTTGTTATTCATACTTGACACAATGAAATACTCTATACAGCACATTACAGAACGATATAATTTCTTTCTCGAATATATTGAAATCTTCACAAGAAGAAACCGACGAGCAAAAACGCACAGAGAAGTATACGTCTTCAACGACCGACTACCACCCGGTCAGGAGACTGTCACGATCGATTAAGACACCGGTCTGGTATATCACGTTTTGCTGGAATTTCACTCGAATAACGCCAATGTCTCTCTTTATTTGAGAGTTTGCCACAGGCTGTATCCCTTTCTCAGTTATCGCATCCACACCTTGATAATAATAATATAATAATGATTACATCTTTAGCCAAGGTGAACCCATCAGCAATATTGGTGATATTAGTGGGTGCCCTAGTAACCTGACTTTCTCAAAATCAAGTATTTTTTATGATAACGTTTGCAATTTCTGCTCTTGGTGTGGGTGAAGCAAGTCTTGCATCATCCTTCAAAGGTGACAACAAACCTTTCGCAAGTGTGACATAAACTGTTTTGGCCCCAGTCCTTTTGCGATTTATTTTCTTCTATGTACTTAGAGAAAGTTAGTTAAAACAAATGCCTATAATCGTATTAGCCTGCTCACTTCTAAAAGTGAAAATGATATCATTTGAAATTTTATGGCTTTTACTACAGATCAAAATAAAACGAGCAGACTGTGTACAATGGCCGAAAATACCCCTACGTGTCCAAAACACGCTCTTCAATATGTATACTTCTAAACAAAACGAAACAAACCAAAGAATCGAAGCGAAGAGAAAAATTGAAGCAGTTGCTAAAATAAAGTTACAAATTATAAGTTACTACAATTATACGCAAAGAAATTGGAAAAACGTAAAAACAAAATAAAAGATAATAAAGACACTCACAAACGTTGTACGAGATTCTAGGACGACTCGCTGAGTTACTGGTTAAGGACGGTATAGAGCGAATTAAAGCGACTGAGAAAAATGATCCATCACAGTTCAACGATAAACCCGAATAAATAAAATTTACGGTAATGAACTTATACGAATTTTACAATCAAAGGGAATTTATGCGTTAAAAAAAATGCACGTGAAAATAAAAAAATCTTGATGAACGCGCGACGGAAAGAAAAAACACGAATTTATAATGAATGACGTCAATAAATAATTTTTGTCGGCAACACTTTGTATTTCCCCTGCTGCCGTCAATGTTTCATTAAGCTGGCGATCCTTCTAAGTCAATCGACTCATGTGGAAAGAAGGTTTTAATGTGGCTATGAGTCATTTTCAAAAATTTAGTTCACTTCAAGAGCTCTCCTCTTTGGTTTCTGATTTAGCAGTTAGTTACCAGGGGCCTCTCCCGTGGGAGGCGAGACTTTAGCCCGTCCTTACACTGTGATCTTCATGATATCTCTAGCCCACAAGTGGCACATCAAAACTTTATTCAGTAAAACACTATCATTTATAGAGTTTTACTGAAAAAATGAACAAAAGTACGACGTGGAATCTCTTTGTTTTATATTATAAAAAGACAAAAGAAAATGTCGATGGTGAAGTCACTGTATGCGTCATCGATATCCGCTCCATCCTCGGAGACCTGGGGGCTGTGAGTCGATTTCAAGTCAGGGCGGAAGAGCCCCTGGGGACATTGTCCTACAAGACTAGTTCCAAACGGTCACAGTCGTTCTGGTATCTGATTGATGCCAGAAAATCTTTGTGTTTTTCTGCCCAATCAGAGTGAAGTATGCTTTAAAGTCCTCTCGTGTGTTTTAACACGGAGATGTACAAGAAGTTCAGTTGCTCGCCTTGTTTGTTTACGCCGTGCGACAAAGCTTTGCTCGAGGTGAAAAGTTTCAGTCTCAGCACACAATATAAGAGAAATCGATCAGATTGTACGCAAAAATCTTACAATAAATTATACTGAATACTTTCGCAGGTATCACAAGAGAACGTATTTAAAAGTTTGCGAGGTTCGTATAAAACATAATGGTTGCAGGCGTTAATAGGTCGCTTTAAACGTTAGACGAGATGTAAGCTTAAATCGTTCTAGATTTCTCGTATAATTTGCTGTGACTGAAACTTTGCCAATCCCGTGAAGTTATTTCGTCGCATGGGCCACGCAGGTACGTCGAGCAACTGGCGCTTACGCTTACGTTGCTTTCTGTGCACGCCAACATCAAATCTCCTTCGATTAGTTGTTTAGGGAAGGTTCAGGGTTTTTTTTACGATGAGTGTGAATAATCCGAGTGAAAATTTTTTTTCTTTTTATGCGAGCGTCTAAAAACTGTCAGGACACCAAAAACCCAGAATTGTACAATCAGTAAATTTATGCAGGTATTGCGGACCTATTTTCCTTCGAATTATTTCGGATTAGTTCGGAAAGCATTCGCTGTCACTCGTATGTAGACGATGACGTAGTAAGAACTTAAGTTCCATTAGGGTATCAGTCGTAGACAGCTGAAGGAGGTCTACTTTGATATTTGCGTAACATGTAGTTGTTTTCTTTTTTCCAAATGGCTGTACTAGTTAACACCTTCGCAAAACATGCAACAGACGTGACCTCGTGTAGCTTTTCACCTAACAGTAAAGTTTTAGCTTCAAGTTCTGGGGACAAATCCGTTCGATTGTGGAATATTGAAAATGGAAGCGAGTTGTCGGTGTCACCATTGCTTGGGCATACATACAGTGTAAACTCTTGCAGTTTCTCGCCGTTTGGAACTATACTTGCAACAGCCTCGACGGACTGTAGTGTTTTCCTCTGGGATGTTGATTCTGGTTCCATGATTACGGTTCTGCAAGGACATAAAAACGTTGTTCGCGTATGTCGGTTTTCACCAAACTCTCGATTCCTCCTTACCGGTTCTGCGGATGAAACGTTTTGTATTTGGGATGTATCTTCTAAAAAGCTCGTCAAATGCGTGGATGGATTGGAAAGTAGTGTGTTGACTTGTTGTTTTACGCCAGATAGCTTACACATAGTGACTGGAACGAGTATGGGAGATTTGTGTATCTGGGATGCTCAGAGTGGAAAAATGATGAAGTTTTATGCGGAAGGACACGATTTAGGAGTAGCTGACTGTTGCTTTTCGCCAACTTTTGGATCAGCTAGTAAGTTACGCTTACAGTTCTTTGCAGTTTGTGTTTTTCGTAATAAGATTTACTGGGGGCCTTTTGATACAAATATTATCGATCTAATCATTTTGAGTTGAAGGTTGTGTGACTGTTTTCGAGGGAGTTTTGAGTGCAAAAGCTTCATCATTAGCAATTGGTGTGGATCAAATAGTCAATTCTGTGTTGTTATTTATAAACTGCATAACTCCTAGTAATGAACTTTTGTTAAAAAGATGCTGCTATCTTTGCTCCTTCAGTTTGCATCCCTGCCTAAATTTCTCCTATTTCAGTTTTCTAGTGGGTTAAGAATAGCCGCTATGACTACCTAAACAAGTCGCTTTACAATAATTCTTGTACAAAATTATCCTCACCCAGCCCTGCTATCGATTATCCATTATTTCCTTTGTTAAGTTATTTAATTAGATGATAGATAATAATGTGAGGATTTTATTAGTGTTGCAGGTGCACATATTTCATTTGAATAAGTCACTGAATTAGTGAAAAATATTACGATTTTCCATACAAATCAGTACTTCCCTATATTTCTGTTAGAATGGAAGGAGATCCATCAGCAAACTTAGGGGTTGCCCTCAACGTACTTGAAAAATGTTGATTCTTATTTTCTTGTATACATGTAGATCATAAGAGTATGTCATCAATGATTAATTAATTCATACTTGAGCATAGTTAAGCATAACTTTCTTTTTTTTTGGAATGCATGTATGGAAGAGGACTTGGGCCATGGACAAACTGTTGAGATAGTTGATTATGGTACATTCTTCCAAACTGTCTCTCATATCCATAATCAAATGTTTGGGTAATTGATGATGGTTTGTTAAAATCACACAATGAACCTGCTCAGACATCTACAATAGCCTGTACCTTGTGATTATCAACATATATTGTGGCCCTAGCTTTTCTACTATTCTTGTTCTAAGCCCTATTGTTGTTGTATTGTGAAGAAAGTTTTTCTTTATTTTCAATACTCTGTCACCATCTCCCACCTCTCATGATCATTTTTCAGTTTTTATTTTTTTATTTTTCTCTATAATTTCTCAACTACCAGTATTATTTTTCTTTTTACTCATTTGTTGTATCCAAGTTTTTATGCAAACTTAAGCATTTCTCAGTGGCTGCTGGGATTTCGTTTTTGTGAATCCCATATGGTAACCAGCAATGTGATGTATAAATTTTGATTTATGAATTTATAAATTGGCATCAGGGGTGATTTGCCATCTGAAATATATATGACCAGTGAGTTTTTTATTTCATTTCATGAAAACCTCACAATTTCTCAGAAACCTTATGCTCAAGAAGAAAAATTTGAAGTTTCCTTTAGTAAAATGTTGTAATGGGTGAAATGTTTTTGAAAGTATACATGACTGATTCATTTTTCTAAAATTTTTATGGCCAAAACAGGACCCCCTTTTGTTACTTTCTGCACAGGGCATCTTTGTTGAAATCTCTAGTAAATAACTTATTCTATCATCTCTTTGAATAAATCAACACTCCAAGCTCAATTTTGTTTCAAATTAATCATTTTAGCATGTAAGATTACATGATGTTCCAACTATCTTGATGAATTTAAACAGTCATCCAAATTGCTTGATTGTCTGTGTTAATTTGTGATAAGTTTTGATAGGGTGGCTACAAACGCGCATGAATCTTATAACTTTCATGAACCACTGTCATACCCTACAGGTAGCAGTACCCTCCCCTCCCTTGGTGGGGAGGGTACTGCATGTAGGCTACCATCGTTTAAAACTGAATCCAGTTTTAAATACAGAAATGCAAGATTTTATTTATTTATTTATTTATTTATGTTGAATGAGCAGCACTTCTAACCTACGCTGTATAACTTTGGCCTTTGTAAAGTACAGCTCTACATGAAAATGTTCTTGAAATATTCATCAAAATGATTCACAGTAAATTAACTCATCTACTCATAACAATGACTCAAACCTAATTTCTCTTTCAATTTCATCCCTGAATCACATATTAAGAACTTCTTGATTGTTAAACAAATTCTGCCTTTCAGCACCTTAGGAAATCTGTAGAGAACAGTATGGAGAATATGCATACTGATGTTGGGGTGTAAACAACAGTAAAGGGTTAATGAGTACATCAATTTTGTAATTAATATTTTTCATACTTGTTTGATTTTGTAGTTGAATAACAACTGTATGTAAAAGTTATAACCATAAATGATAATTTGTTTTAAACTTTAATCAGCCATGATTTAAGTTTTTAATCATGTTAACCCATTTTTCCAGTTAAGTATACATTTTTAAAATAATTTTTATAATAATAGTCCCATAAATTAGGTTAACTCAGCATTTAAATCAGATTTCTGATAATCACATTTTACTTAATACACAACTACAATATCTATTTCTTGCATTAACACTTTAAACTTTCTTTTTAATTCTTCTTACAGTACTGAATACTATGGAATCCTCATTTATGACACAAGTTCTTTTGCGCCGTCTTGGTCTTGATACAAACTGTAAGCTTTTGTTTTGCTGCAGTGTGTGATTATAAGATATTGAATTATCTAACATTAGTAGTACCGAGTTTTCTAACGTATTGTAACCTTAAAGAACTGTTTTAAGATATCTAAAACAAATTTTGTGAAGGTTTTTAAATTCTAGCTCACTTAAAATGTGTTTATAGTTATTTGCCTTAATGTGTACTATTTTATCAAGGGCTGCATCTATGCAAGATGGCATGATCATTAAATAATGTTGGGTTCAACAGATACGCCAAAAAATTTTTTTTTCCATGAATTGTATCATGACATAAGCCAACATTGTGTTAATGTTGCAGATCCTGCTTTCCAAGACACAAGTGGTGGTGCCCCACAGTTCATGCTTGCTACAGGTGGAAATGATAACCTTGTTAAGCTGTGGGACATTTTCACTGCTTCAGGTACTAATGCCAGCATAGTGATGCAATTTTTTGTGTATTTCTTTCATTGATAATTAGATTAAATCTTTCCTTAACTTGCTGACACCACTTTTAGCTCCCAAGATTCTGATTGGTAACTCTCCCCTCTTGCTTCTACACCTTTTTTGTAAATTAGTTAGGAGAATTTGGTACTTGATTAAGATGATTATAACAACTTGTACCTCTGAGTATTCTCATTACCTGTTTGCTAGATAATGTATGGATGTTATAGGGATGAGCTATATGTTTATTACTTCTTGGATTCAAAGGATTAACTCTGACTGACAATGTGATAATTAATGATTACTATTAATGTTAACTCTCCCTTCCAGATGCAATACATTTCTTTCTCAGTTGAGAGAATTTTTCATCTGAAATGTTTTTCTTTTCTCTTCATGCCATTTGTTAGATAATGTATTGAAATTTTCTCAAATTATTTTGATAGCATTTTCAGCGGAGTGCCACATCCGTAAACGCTGTTCACTAAATGGTCACCAGGGCCCAGTGCATGGCATTGCTATGTCACCAAATGGCAAAATCATGGCATCAGGGTAAGCAAGCTGTGCTACTGATCACAAAGGGCCAGATAAAGTCTGTAGAGAGAAAAAAGGGACTTCATGGTAAACACAAAAGCCCTCTGTTTCACTGTGACCTTTAACAGGAATTATATCTGTAACAAGAGAAGCATGATCCAAGAAAACCTATCTTTTCCCTAATTCTTTGCACACTGTGTGGAGATTCAGCTTGAGTGTTTAAACATGTGAGTAGTGCAGCAAAGCTTGCCACAACATTGGTTAAATTTACTACCAATTTGTACCAGATCTTGAAAACCTTGTACATCTTGTTACATGCACAATTTTTTTGAGGGCATCAGTTTCTTAAATAGTCAGAAGCTTAGGTCCATAGGCAAGGAATGTGTTTTTCCTGGTCAAACACAAACGGGGATCAAGTGTTAAGTATACTTTCTTGTTTATTTATTTTGCAGGTCTTCAGATAAGTTAGTTATCCTTTGGGATCCAGTAAGTTGATGGCAGAAAATGTGTTTAATTACTTTAAGTTCAACTCCCATACATACCTGAATTTTTTTCAGGCTTTATTTTCACTACTGCTTATTAAGTAACGTTCCTAACTGCAGTGATCTCTCTCATCTTCATTTACTAATCAGCAATTCAGATGTATCATATTCATGTATTCATTCATCAAACCTTAAAACTGGCTGAGCTTTTGACCAAATTTTTCATGAAGTGCTCTCACAATGACTGACTGGGTTGTACATTTCTCAAAATTTTGATACTTTGTCTTTCTTTGTGAACTCATTATACTTTTAGGTTCTCTTTTGTTTTAATTCACTTTCAAGAAAAGCAAATGATTGCAAATTTTCATGGGGTTTTTTGTGTGAAAGGAAATATGTATTTGACTCTAGAATGAGTACCTATGGTTAGTAATGATTACCTGGGGAATTTCTTTTTAACAGTTACTGGGAGTGTCATTGCTAACATTGGAGGGGCATACAAGGTATGTTTGTGGAATTAACCCTGATCACTCTATTTGCTAGATTATATGTTAATTTTTTTGCAAACCAGGCATGTTGCTTAACCCTTTTTTCCTGGGAGTGACCAAAAGGGAATTTCTCCCCACATTGTTGATATATAATCAAGCAGAAAGGTGACAAGAAGACAGAAAAGTTTTTTTAATTTTCAGAGCCAAATTTAAAAAAAAAACATAGCAGACAGTGGAGAGAATTGATATTTGGATCTTAGGAATGAAAGTGATTTGTAGAAAGCACTCTTTTCAGGGTAGCACTTATTTAAAAAATTATTATATTTCTTAAAACAATCAAATGTATGCTAACATAGAGAACCACAAATTTATAGAGAAGACAAATTTACGTAACCCTTTAACTCCCACAAGTGATCAACATGAAACTTCTCCTGATAATATCCTTACATTATTCTGCAAACAGCTGATGAGAATACTTGAACTTACCAGGTAGAAGTTGTTGACTTGATCTACTGGTAACCCCAAATTCTCATACTAATTTACAAGGATATGTGTAGCAGCTAGAGGGGAGAATTATCAATCAGATCTTGGGAGTTAAAGGGTCTCATATTGGCTGTTACTAATGAAAGAAGGTATTGAGACCTCTGTGGTGAGGACTCATATTTATCTTCTTTATTTAGGTATGTAACTTGTTGTGCATTTTCTTTGGATGGGAACTGGATGGCGACAGGATCAAATGACAGAATGGTGAAGCTTTGGAAAATTTGTTTAACTGAGAGTGGTACGTTCATATGCATACAAAATTTTAGTAGCTGTTAGTTATTTCATATTTATCATTTGGGATGGTTTTTTTCCTTTACATTAAAAAAAGGGGTCACCTTTGACCTGCAAATGACTACATACAAATTATGGTCTGTTCATGCACAGTGCTGTAGAGCTGCATTTTAGGCCAATTAACATCCTTTTCATGTGTATCTGCAATCACGTATGAAATATTTCCCTTCCAAGCTGAATTTTTTTTGGTGTGCTTGCCTGGCATTTATCAAAGTAGTAATGTGCTGCACTCCAAACCAAACAGGTGAACTGGACCAGTCAGGCAGATCGACATCAAAGCCAATTCTTCAGAGTACACTGGTGAAGAAACAGGAGCCTCAGGTATGGTTTGTTGATTGATCATCACAGATTAAATTAGAAAGCCACCTTTTAAACATTGTGGTTTCATGAACTTAGGCAGGGAAGTCAGACACTCTAGCAGTTCTAGCTTTTCTGATAATTGTTGATTTACTGTTTCTTGCCTTTGAGATGATTTTGTCATAATTATTTAATGAAAAATTTTCTTACTGAAGGTAGCTGTGTATTTTTATGAAAGTTTGACTGTGTTTGCCTTTGGTTCATACTCAGGAACCCAAGAAACAAAGGAAGAAACTTGTGACATGGAGTATTGATGATGTCTGTAGCTGGCTTATATCACTGGATCTTGATATTTACTGTGAATCATTCCGTCAGAATGCCATTGATGGAATGGAGCTGTCTAATATGACCAGTGAAGTGTTGACATCAGACCTTGGTATTGGTGAGTGGAGTGATACATCTGACTTATTATTTCCTCAAATTTTATGATTTATTGATAAGAGGGCCAGTTGGAATGATATGCAGAATTACTTTCCTTTCTTAAACCTTTCACTCCCAAGGTTTTATTATGGAAGTCTTGGTCGTACTGTCCACTGTGACTTTCTGAAGTTACATTGATCAACAAAAGTGTTGGACAGTGGCCACTGTTCTTCTACTGATGTGAATTCTTGTTGATCCAAGGGATATTTTATTCCTTGATATTAGCGTGATGAAGGTAATCCGTTCTCACCAAAGCCCCATGACTGACTGACTGCTTTTACCCTTCAATCTTCTAGAGGTGATTGACAGCCGCCATCTTCTCACACTTGAAATCTGTTTACCCGCAAACTATTTCAACATGTTATCTAGATCTAAAACCGAATTCTCCTATAAACCAAGTTTTCAAGATTTGTGTCACAACCATTAGGGAGAATTAGAGGCGTGAATTTGGGACTTAGAAGGTTAAAGAACAAACTGGATGAAGTTTACAAAGCACATCTTTTATCCCAATTTATAATTGAAAAAATCAGAAGACCAACTTATCGAATCATTTTCAGGTCCAGCTGGTCATCGAAATAAAATTTTGCGAACAGTTAAGGAAATTAAGAAGGAGGAACTAGAGGAAGATATACCTGATGAATTTCTGTGTCCCATAACAAGAGAAATAATGACTGATCCTGTCATTGCCGCAGGTTGGCACAGTTTCTGGTTTTTAATTACGTTTTCTTCTTAGTTGGAAACGTGGTAGCCCCGTGGTTATGTAACTTGTTTCTGACTGTAAGGACAAGGGTTTGAACCTTGGCCGGGGTACTTAGCTTTTTTCAGAGGGTGGGTTGGGCAAACCGTTAGGGAAATCTGATGAAATGTGAGAGGGGGGAGCTCTCTTTCTGTTGGTGGAGACCAATATTAAGTGATTTCTGAAATATAGTTCTGAGTGAATTGGCTAAAACGTTTTTTTTTTATTTTTTATTTTGTCTCTTTTTTTCGTCTCACAAGATGGCTACACGTATGAACGTGCATCTATTGATGAATGGCTGACCTCTGGTCGTCTAACAAGCCCGATGACAAATGCTCCTTTGAAGAATTCTTCTCTGACACCCAACAGAATGCTCTTTATGCTGATACAGAGACACTTTAGTGGGCAAAATATTAACGTTTGATACGTATGCACACTCGCTGACTCATCTAAAGTTTTTATGTGTGCGACAAGAGTACTTTTTGTCATCGTAATAATTTGTTATTTAATGATTTTAAATTAATGTAGTTAAATGTAGCCTTTCCGGGCTGTCACATTGTATAAAACATCGCGAAAGCGGGCGTCTGAGAGAAAATAGGGTGGGGAACTGGAGAGAGGGAAGGAAAATCTCTCGCCCCAACCCCTCTCCCTTCCTTGGCCTACCCTCTTCAGAACCCCTTTTCGTTTTTCCTTACTGATGGAGGGTTTGGTAGGACTAATTTCAACAACCTTATCCGTATGTTGGAAGATATTTTGCTATGTCCCAGATATTTAAAATGCGTTACTACATAGTGAGCTAGAGGTGCCCTAGTAATGTGGCGGCCGCCTCATGGGTGATGTAAAAGCCCTATCGCACATGCTCGTTTTGATTTTAGATATTTAGATACACTTTGGATTTGAACGATCCAAGAGGACCATTGGGAAACGATGAACGCATTTTGAGGGTTCCCTTCATAGATCCAAGGAGAGGACCATTGGGAAACGATGAACACATTTTGAGGGTTCCCTTCATAGTAATCACTATAACAAGCAAAAACGGCCTCAGCTAAAAAAGTTGGTGCCGTTGTTGAAATGTTTCGTTTTGAAATACGCAGTTGTTGACAATATTTTTTTGTGCGAAACATTACATTGTTTTTGAGTCATGAAGTCTTTGTGAGAATGAGCAACCGCCATCAGGAAAAAAAATGTCACGCTTGAGTCAAGTATGTTGGTAAAGGAGGAGGAGGAATTTGCTACTGTTTAATTACTTATATCAACTTTGTATCGAAACACGGTCAGTTTGGCCACTCTTGATTTCATCAAAATATGTAATCTACAACCTGGCGATGCGGCAATTCGACTTACACTGGGGCCCCGTTAACTTGAATTTGGTCGACGCGAAGCCTCCTTGTAACTCGAACAAGATCCGATTTCCCTTGACCCATTTTTCAGTCATTTTCCCTTAACAAACTCGAACCCCACTAGCTTGAACCTTTTTTCGCTTTCCTTTGAAGGACTAGTTTGCGGGGTTCTACTGTATCGCTCTTATTTTAAGCATTGCGCCACTGTTATATTGGTTGTCTCTATTTATGTTCCACCTTCAACTGGTTAACTTTCGGTTTCTAAGTTACCAAAATAAACAAGTAGTGCATCACCAAACATGTTCTTTAGCTTTTTGCATTCAGTTCGTCATGACCAATTTCCATAAATCTCGGATCATGTCATGAGGTGCACAAATGTTTCATCGATTTTTAAACTCGATTAAAAATGACTATGCTAGGAGGTAAAAAGTTGAAGAGGAATGAATTAAAACTTTGAATCTTCTGACCAGTATCTAATTTCTCCTTACATTATCACTCCTGAATCAAACACAGAGGTCTTGTGGGTAATTTGTGTGTGAATTTTTGATAGGTTGGTTTCGCACGGACATGAAAGTTGTAACTTTCACGAAGTATCATCACTGCTTGACTCCAGCTTAGATAAAGTACTGCGAGAAGTTTTTTTATTTATAAATATATATTGAATGAGCAGCAGTTTCCTATAGCCTACATTGCTTGATTTTGGCCCTTGTAAAGTACAGCTCTTCATGAAAATGTTCCCTAGTTATTTATTAAAAATTATCAGTCATAATGATGTCTTTTACTATAGACAGTGACTCGCATCTACTTTCTCCTTACAAAAACATCCCAAAATCACCCTTTAACCCCTATGAGTGACCAACATCTACTTTCTCCTTACAATATCACCCTTGAATCACACATTTAGGTCATGAGAATAAAGGAGATGATCACCAACTGAAGAAGCTCTTGATTGTCATACAAATTCTCCTTGACAGAACCCTTGGAAATGTCTAGGGAGTAGTATGGAGAATATGCATACTGATGTTGGGGAGTTAACTGTTAAGGTCACGGGAGTAAAGGAAATGATCACCAACTCAGAGAAGCTCTTGATTGTTAAACAAATTCTCCTTGTCGGCGCCTCAAGAAATGTATGCAGATCAGTATGGAGAATATGCATGCTGATGTAAAGGATTAAGAAAAATGTAATTTGTGGTAATTCTAGTTAGCATTAATTAATATTTTGTCGGCGCGTATCAGAGGACTAGGGGCGGATGCGAGGTGCGCGGAGGGTTATGGGATTGTGGTGTGTAAGTAGAGGTCGTTAGTAGGGCAAGGCATTCTACGGTCAGCCTTCAACGTGTTTAGTTGTTCGTTTTCGTTTTTGTATAGATTTTGAGCTGTACTTGCATACTACCTTAAGTAACTGTATAATATGTGCTGAAACCTCAAGGGTGGCACCGCTGCCTTGGTTGGGGGTAAATGTTCCTCGTTTTTTCCACCTGCTGGTTTTAAGGGGTTTTCGTGCCCGGCTTTGGTGCATTTAGTTCACTTTAATCGTAAAAGACTTCTGTAAGCATATCGATTTGGCGTTAAATAAACGATGGCTTAGCTGACCAAGGCGCTCAGATATCAACTTTTTGTGTGCCCGGTTGAGTAGTGGAGGCAAAGTTAGAAAAGGTTAATCATAAGTTCATCATGAAAATGTTTATTTATATGTGTAAATTTATATAAGGAAATACACCTGCAAAAACACCTGTTGTAAATCTCATCTACTCAAGTTTAAAGACTTGTTTTTGAAATCATCCATTCTTATTGTACAGCCATTGCTCGTGTGAATCACATGCCATTGCAATACTACTTAATGTATTAAACTATAAGTCGATTCTTAAGTTATGCATACAGTTCAAAAAAGCACTGAATTTGTCAATGTCCCTTGAATGCCGAGTTTTTTAACAACCCTTTGTTTGTTTTTTCCTTAAACACAGCAAGTATTCATTGAAAATTTAAATCAAAAACGTTCTAACCACAATCTCTTTACTGATATATGCTCCAATTAAAGACAAATCCCTTAAAAGCTATTGGCGCTTATTTACAAAACTAGATTTCTTTTAACTACCTCATATTTCTTTGTCTAAAACTTAAAACTGGATTTTGTACCACTATGAAGCCGTTTTCCTTCATGTTCATTACACACCACACAAAGCGTTAAGTACAGTTAAAACAAAAAAAATGAATGATTCAATCTTAGGATATTACACGCCCATTCAAATGTCAAACCTGCTCATAAATACATCTTTTTAGTGTATTTCTTTTTTAAGAGCTGATTAAAATTACGATGATCGCCAAACGGTATTCGTATCTTAATTTAATCATTCCTCATCTAACTTTCATATAACGCGCTCGTAAAGTCCTGCTTTCAGACCCCTGATCAACAACGGTCCTCAGAGCGCCTTTCATCTTAATCTTGAATAATATTAATATAATATTAATCAGTGCCTTCCAGCCTAATCTTGAATAATATTAATCCTATTAATCGCAATCAGATACTGTGTCAGATTGCACTGATAAAGTCGGTTTCTTTTCAAACGTCTTATATAACACGCGCATCAGAGCGACGTTACTGTTCTATACTGTCCATTGATCTCTTGTGATTTCTGGCCATTGAGTCTTTGACTGCTGTCTCTTCGTTTTGGAGGATCTGGTTTTGTTGGTTGACCGCTCTCCGTGTGCACTCCACTGGTGTTCTTTGGCTCATCTTGCTTAGGAGGCTCTATCACCCAATGGATAACATTTTTAGCATCCCTCTTTCGCTTTGCTTCCTCATCAGTTCCCATCAATCTACTCAGAAGTCGCTCCTCTGCGATCTTTAATCGTTCGTTTTGATTCTCGTCATATGACAATCTCTTTGTCATTCCTTTGTACGGCGGGCTTCGCGGATTGCCAACGGTCAAATGGTCGGAATCACCGGAACTTTCCGAGCATGAATCGGAAAAAGGCAGCGAAGTGTCCGATGATTTATCGGAACCGGCCCGATGTCTGTCAAAATCTGAGCGGTGGAAATTGGTTGGCAAAGTGTAAAAATGCCTTTCCCTAAATTCGCCTTCGGAAGTTTTTATTGCGGCAATGTCGGACTGTGATCGTGGCCTTATTTCGGCAATCTCTGGTTTTCGTAACGTTTCGCTTCGATACGAATCACGTTTCTGGTACTCGGGTCTTTTCGGGACATCCGTGGCTGAGCGCCGTCTGGGTAGGTCTGGAACTGTTAGTCTGGAAAGAGTGGATGTGACGTCATCAGTAGAGGACCTTATTGATGACGGAGGAGAATCATCACTTTTTAATGACGAGACTGTGGATTAAACAAACGTAAACATCAAAATTATTTTCTTCGTTAAAAACTAAATTCACGCAATAACATTAGAAGTACTGTACAGAATTTTCCTATCTCCTAGACACTGTTTTAGCACTGAAACCCGTGAGAGTGACCAGAATCTCATTTCTGATTACAATATCGACACTGCGTCAAACATTAAGGTCATGAGATTAAATGGTACGACCACCAACTAAAGAACTTCTTGATTGATAAACAAATTTTCCTTTTCGGTACAGAAGGAATTGAACTGAGAACAGAGTGGAATATATGCATACCGATGCTGGGGTGCAAAGGGGTAAGACCTACAAAAGGAATGGGACCAATCATGAAAACATGAAAAAACATTATCACGGCCACTGACATTGAAGACACTGAATCATAGGAAAAGTTTGCTATGATTCATTCCGCGATGTTATTGCTTTCTTTGACATTTTTTAATCGTTCCCTGACACAAGAGACATTTTGTTCATGAAAATGAACTATCGCAGCATGGCAGAGTAAATTTCATTTTCCGTCAGGAATTTTGTGTCTAATGAAAGTGCGTTTCGTTCAGGCACGGTTCGTTTACATTCCTGAGGCTAAGGACGGAAGTTTTTTAGGTTATTAGCACGGGGTCTTAAAATGTCAAACTGATAAATGTTTTTGTTGTTCTTTGCTTCTATTTCTTGTAAGGGAGTTTGTTTTTGCACATTTTACGGAAGCAGGAAAACACGACGAAAGAATGAGATTGAAGAGCGGTGAAATGTGCTTTCTATTTACTCTTTACCACACAGGTCATGTGTGACAGTGTATCCGTAAACAAACTATGGTAAGCATTGTCTTAACACCTGCTCAATGGACAAAACTTTCAAGAATATTATTTCAATTGTTCCATAAACACGCGGCTACAAGCAAAATGAAAACCAAAACACTCTCATGACACTCTTATGAGGAGACATCTCTACTTGATCAAATCTCTGCGTTCTAAAAATTCCACTAAAGTTCTCTGTCTCTCCTACATTCCCGAAGAATCTTGAAGTTACCATGGACACCTTTTAAACCCCCCCATAAGAGCCCATCAACGGTAGCCTAAACCCTGGCAATTGAGCAGAAACTTATCTATATCTACAGCCGTCATTTGACCCCTTACTGAACGGCCGACAATTCGATTCCAGTTAGATAGCGGTTTATCGTTCTCGCGATAATTTTATTATCATAACATCAGAAATGTGTGTTTTAGCTATCAAGCAATATCTTGTGAAAATATTCCTCGAACCAAAATATGCATAGCTCTTGATCTGTTATCTTCAAAACATAATATGGGAGCCACAAATCAATACTATCGTCAACGATCGATCACCTAACATCGACATAGAGGTCACGAAACTTACTTGTACTTCGTCCCAATGGACTCGAAGCTCTTTCAACGCTTTTCCAAAACTGGTCTGAGAGATTTTCCAGTGATTTATGATAATTCTGCACGGTCCTGTTCCTCTGCTTGAAATCTTTGACGTCTGTATTTTCTGTTGGCGTAATGAAAGTGATATTAGGCTTTTGTAAACACGTCATGAATGAAACGGTTCGTGAATATTGTTTCGAGCAGTTGGTAAAAGTTATATTTATAAGTTTTGCACGTCTCGCAATAAATTGCGTTTGCTGCTCAGGAACAGTCTTTTGAAACATGAAAAACTAAGTCCCAAACAGAAGTTGTAACCGTATACATTCGCTTTGAAGTTGATACAGTAACCGGCTATCAGAACAGATCATTGAAATTCGTACTCCTTGATTTAAACTTTATTACTCTACATATGAATAATCCGAGCCAGCAAAGTAATCCATTGGAAACAAGACACGTTAGCTCTCTACTGAGTCAAACTGACGTATCTTTACAATCTGACTTGAAGAACTGTGTCCTTGAAAAAAAAAAAAACACAGCACATACTGAGGCTTCGAACGTGATGGAATATAAACTATGCGAGAAGGAAATATAAAAACACGATATTCGGAGTTGAAGGCTCTTGTTAGGAAGATTTTAGTAGTTGATTTCTCGGAATGCTGAGTGAGATCCAAAGTGTTTTGCTTTTTTTTTTAAACGATCTAAGCAGTCACGCTACTTGCGTAAGTCGCAGAGTTTCACTGACAAATATTCAGTCCCCGGAAAGAGATCGAATCAGAGTACACGAAAACGGATTAAGACTGTTGAATGAAACAGGATTTATGGTGTTATCTCCACTGGGACTCAGTCAAGTCTTCTTATTTCGTTTAAAACCATAAAACCGTCAGCTTTCGATCTCTACGAGACCACAAGATCACTAGGAAGTAGTTCTAAACAATAAGATAAAAGGCGAGGTTTCTTTGTGGTACTGATAAGATCCACTGTCTTAAAATTCCATCAGGCAACCATGTAAATTCAATCGCTAAAGAATGGAGTTAGTAGCGGAATAGTTTAATAGCGCGTATTACTGAACCGAAAGAAGATCAATCAGTTGACTGACAAAACTCACCCGTAGCGTGAGGGTCATATCTGTATAGAGACCTGAAGTAGTTATCTGTAGTAAAGAAAACACAACAACATTAATGCTTTCAATATATAGCACAACATTACAATACATAGAGGTAGTAATTTCGTGTGTAAAATCACTTCACAAACTCAGCAAAGAATAACCTTGAATAACTCTAGCTCTGACAACGGAAGGCTTCGCAACAAACGTGTTACCCTTCTCGGGAAACTTCGGTTTGACTCTCTTAAACTTCAACATAATTCAACCTTAGTTGCTTCTATCACCATCATTTAACGTTAACAATGTCTGTTTGTCGCTTTTCAACCGCTGCAACACTACTACAAACACATCAGGTTTCCTTTCGCCATTTTAGTATATCGCCATAAACGATTCCACAACCAGTTTCCGTTCGCTCGTACGTGGTGACAAACTGTTTCGCGGATTGTCTCACAGCCAGAGAACAACTTGATCGCAATACTGCAACAATGAGATGCAATTGACTAGTGAACCGAAGCAATCTTCCTAATCCAGCGCGCGATTTCAGAATTTTGCATAGAAGTGTAAAGACGTGATATCAATCGACCGTGGGCGTGCACGATAAGTAATTTGTTGCCCTAGGAAGTCACATAAACTGTCGGTGTGCGAATTTGATTTATCCACTGCCGTTCTTTGGTAGTTAAAATACACCCGACTCTCCGTAATACAGATGTAACAATAAGTCGCCTCGTCATAGCCAACACCAATATTAATGGGCTTTTGACTACGCTAAACAAATTACATCTAATTATGCCTAATTATGCGGTTTGCTCCTTTTAAAGCAATCAAAAGGCACGGTTCGTTTACATTCCTGAGGCTAAGGACGGAAGTTTTTTAGGTTATTAGCACGGGGTCTTAAAATGTCAAATTGATAAATGTTTTTGTTGTTCTTTGCTTCTATTTCTTGTAAGGGAGTTTGTTTTTGAATTTCTACACAGTTTCTTGGCTTGTTAAACCGTGGGAATAACTGAAGCCACAAACAGCGCATTGTTTATTCAACAGTAGGATGCTGTTTGAGTTCGTCCTTCAACTCGTCAGTCACGAGAGGCCCCCTCAAAAACTAAGGGATAGCGGAAGAGAGGGAGGGAGTTCTGAACTTGGACAAACTTCTTCCCACAGAAGAAACGCCTTTCCGTTTCGATACCGAGACAGGAATGGCTTAACTGGTGCGTTTGCTAAAACAACTAGGCTAAAACCTTGTTTTATCATACAAACAATAGATCCTGTTGTTTTTTTCGTTTCCTTATTGTTCTGGCGCTTTCTTTCTTTGCGGTTTCGGGTTTGCCGCCTTTTCATTGACGACCGTATGCAGAACAAAAATAGCAAAAAGCAATTTCCTGCCATAAATAATATCGATAGGCTTCAATTTCTCGGAATAATGCCTAAAAATAAACCAATACCCCCTAAACTTTTGTGTTAAAAGTAAAAGGATATAGTTTGTTGAATTTTGATATAAAGCTTTGGCGAAAAAATTAGGCACACGCTCTTAAAATTGAATGAATCAACGCATCAAAAATGCCGCTTTTTTTTTAGCAAGGAGCGAATTGTCGTGAATTTGAAGGATTAAATTAAGCCCGAAGAAAATCGGATTTAGCCATCAAGTTTAACTGGTAAAATATTGTAGATTCAGTAAAGTTACACACAAAATTTTTATCCGCTTGCGTCAACATATATTACGTAAGTTTGGTGTCAAAACTCGTTTTACCTGTTCTGAAGCCACGAGCAGGCAAGGTGGCCGCGCGTTCCTTGTGTATCTCACTGAGGTCTGGGTGTGAGAGCGAACTCTGATCCTTGCTGAGGTTCCCGGATGAGAGAGTGTTGCTTGACACGCTTAAGGATTCCTCAGAACCAGAGCTACCAGCGTGGAATGAACTGGCACGTGACTTGGGGTCTTGTGGAAGCTCTACATTAAAAAGAGAGGAGTTTGAGTTCTAGTCAAGTTACTGTTAGTAATTCGTATGAGCGGAATAGTTATTTTTTTTAATAAAATTTCCGCTTGTCTCTTTTTTTCTTAATTTGCATGAACCATGTCCGTGGATCAACAAGTCAAGAGCTCTTGAAGGCTACTTACATTTGTTACTTGTGACAAAAATTAATTAGAGTACAGCTCACGATCATTGCTAAATTACAATAGAGAATTTCTGGCAACGAAGTCACAAAAAGCAAAATTTCAGAACTGTTAAACCATGTGCACATGCAACTATGAACTTACAGCGTGTGCTTAATAAGAAATTTAACGTTCAAAGTTCATAATCTGTCCTCTACGAAATCTTGTCGTGGGCGTCTTTAGTGGACCATAGATTATAGGCTTGAGCGGTTTTTTCTGCAAGGCATCTTTAACTGCACGAAAACGTTTCATTTGCTAAAAAATCGTTTTCAATTCTTCCGATTCCTAGAACTAGATGTCGACTCTCCCGTCTCTCTGTTTAATGTTTCTTGTAGTTTTAGCTCTGGAAAGCCGCTGTTTAATCAGACAATTTCCGTGGTTTACATTCTTCTTTATTTGTGTCAACTGTCTGCCTTACACTGTACTAATATTGAAGGGAAGACATTTCTTTTCAGTCACCCTTGGAGTGACGAGTATAATATATATTATGTTTACTGAGTTAAAAAAAATCCTTTGGAGAAATATGCTTGCGTTGTAGCACGCTTCTAAAATTGCCCTCCCTTGAGTAACTAGTGACCCGCTGTGAATTTCCTCGAACCATGACACGAACGTGCTGCAACTTCTGCATTTAACAAAGACTCTGTTGGTGAAAAAACTACAAACTATTTAACGAAATCGCCTCCTCCATGTGGACAAGCTTTGGACACTTACAGACATGCCGCAGTTTTTGGAATTTTACTTGCTCTTCATACAGAATAAGGAGGAACTGGAAGATCTTTCCATTTGTTGTTTCTAAGCTTAAATTTTAAATTTATGTTAAGATTTGACAGCTAATAATTAAACAAGTTACGGAATTGTCATCGCAACAATTTCGGAATTATTTTGATCTGCCACTAAATTTACAAACGGAACAATGTTAAGGAAGACATACAACTGTCTCCAAGGTAACGGAGGTGCATATTTTGATAAGAAGAGATTATGCCATGGGTAATTAGCTCTGAAAACTCTCAAGACTGGATACTCATTTTCGCTATAACATCCGGAAACCTCAACAAACAACATGGATTACACGAAATTGACATTTACTGAGCTCGAAATTCTGCTCGCACAGTCATAAGCTATTTGGTGTTTTATTACGCTATGAAAATACGACGAATAACTTTAATTAAATAGCAAAGGCCGATGAGCGAGATCATTCACTTGTTTTCGTCGTCTGCGTCAGCAGACGTTTTAAAATCCTTTTAAGGAATCAACTAGAAGTCGTCAACCGGCCGTTTCGTTTCATATTCTTGGTTTGAAAAGCCTTTTCGAATAATCTCCTACTTTATTATGAAACTCCCGTTTCATGACTCGCGTCAATAGGTACAAAGTCACTCATCGCGTGCCGTAGATTTGGTTGTTAGTCAATTGAAACAGCAATTCATGAATCCAACCACGTCTTTAGTGGTGATCACAGTCTGCCGCTGAACCGAACACTTCTGAAAGAGGAAGTTAAACTGTCTACTATGGCCAGTTTGCGAGCTATACTTCTCCAACTGATTGTTCCAAATTTGTTTTTGTGGTTTAAAGTTTACGCAAAACAATTAAATGACTCGTGGGGCATAAAGTTTTCAACGGGGAATGTCACGTAATGTTTTGAAGCCACAGACACTTTGTCTTCCTTGGCGAGCTCGCTTTAGTTCTGTAAAACAGCTTATCGTGCAATACAAGGTTCCAGTCGTCATTAAAAGTTTTAAAAATTTTCCATAACACACCTAAACAATATCGGACTGTAAACTTCCAAATCGAGAATGCAAAATATGCCACTTGTTCTTTTCAGTACTCAACTTTCTCCTTATAAAGCGCTTTTTGACTCTAGTAGTTTCAATACGTTATCACAGAGCCTAACGTTTATATACTGCTTTGCACACACAACGACAAGACCTCTTTCTAATTTATTGGTAGGACGAATAACAACTCAGTAATAAATATGTAATAAAACGGCTGATTAACCAAGACTTATACAACTGTTGTTGCAAAGCTGTGTTGTATTGAAATCGACTATGACAGCGACACTCTACAGTTCTCAGTCAGTTGAGCGCATAGTCTCGCTTGTTTCGTGGTTGGAATTTTTAAGTTTGTAAACAAATTACTCAAAACAGTAAGCTTAAGCTAGAAATTCAGGGAGATTTTAGCGAAATTTTTGGCCAAGGAATAACTGGATGTCTATGGCTCTAGATTAATTGTCCAAACTTCTGTTCCGCTCTTCTGTTATAATCTTCTGTAAAACTTAGGCCCAAGATAAGCTTAGTAACTTTGTAACTGTGCGTAACAACTGAGTATTCCCACTGATGGAAGTCTCTCCTTGCGAAGGCTGACTCATTGAAACTGTGCTCGTATTTTAGAATCAACAGCCGGTAACTTAAACGTATTTACAACCGAGTACTTACTTTGACACAAAGGGCACGGTTTATCCACAAAAAGACACGAGTAACATCGCGGATGACCACAAGTGTCGATCAGTCGCCTCTTGTGCGCACTGTCGTATCTCTCTCCGCAGTCAGGACAAGTGATAAACTTGGGTGAAGACCACTGATTATCCATAACTGTAGGCATTGGTTCTCTAGAACGTCGCGAGTGCACTTCAATCTTTGCTGTTTACTGAAACACAAGCAAGCCAGCGTAAATAAACAAAGCTAAAAGCTAATGGAACTTGAGAAAGCCGCAAATTGTTAACGCGTCTGGCGCGCACACTGAAGAGATGTGAGAGTTTTTTCACCTCGATCTGTCTACTGAAGCTCTAAATCTTCGTGGTCTGTGAGTGAAGAATGTTACTGATGTCTGTTGCGTCTCGATCCAACACAAAAATGTCTTAGTCTGCATTAGCTTAGGTCCAATACAGATGTGACGGAAGCAAAAAGAAAAAAAAAAAGCATAATATAATATGCTGGGTGACAAGTGGTTAAATATCCAGAGCTCGATAAATTGATTGGAAAATGCCTTGATGACAATGGAACAAAAGAAGTGTCAAGAAACACATCGCGAGAAATTACGCTTCAAACTGTTCACACATAGCAAAGTGTCCACGCGTGACAAGGCTTTGTAGAAAGCTTAATCTCGTAAAATGAAAAGAATTAGAAATATAAAGTAGTGCTTTACTCCGGCGAAAGAGGCAAACATATGAATTCTTATGAACGTTTGCAGAGACAATGGTTAAGACGCGCTAATAGCTCAGGATTTTTATACGTTACGCAAGGGCAAAGGCGTGGAATTTAGAGTTCAAGGGGTGAAAAAGTTGTCCACACGCACGCTTCAGTTTGCCCCCTTGCAAAGTCATCGTCCTTGAAAGAATTGCTTCACAGCGCGGATTTTTTGTCTGCAGGCTACTCCCTAACTTTGAACTACATTAGATAAGAGTGCAATTTCAATAAATCGTTGGTACACACTGCAGTGACAAAGATTACGACTTGATCTCTTGCCGTTAATCCAGTTTACAGAATCTTTTCTTCGCAAAGGTGTCTCGACAATTGTTTGGCCTAGAGTCTCAACTGAAACATGAAATATCTCCCGCTGATCCAGATTTGGCTGTAATTTCTTTAAAAAACTGGACAGTTTTTGAGTTTTTGAGTGTAAACTTTGCAGGCATTACTATTAAGTAATCCGGATTTTGTACCCAACTCGATGCCGGCAGATTGCAGGCAATAAATTAAATTACACGCGATAAAGTTGGAGTATCAATCACTTAAAATGAGCCAATAGGAAAGCAGATATTCAGGCAAGCGATCAGTGAGACAATTTGCAAATTGTCAATTCGCCGAAATGGAACATTTATTTGATCTTCAAAACAAGCGCAAACCTTGTTTCAGGGTGATCAGGATAAAATACTGAGTTGAATATTAACCGCACGATGCAGACGATGAGAAGGCAAAGTCTAAACTACCCACACACTTCAGATTCCACCCCCTGCACAGATTGATACCTCTCCTGACGAAGGAGTAGAGTACAAGTCTTATAGCGTGCGCGGAACCGCAAGACCTCTATTCTTTACGTAACAAAATGTTTTAGCTCTCGTCAATAAATTGAAAGAGGCCCTTAATCAAATTAGCTTCGAAACGCAGCAGAGAAATGAAGAAAACAACTAATGATCATCCATAATAATTACGTCTCCTTCTCCTTTTTTAAATTGTCTCTTTTGAGTCAGCGAGTAGAATGCTTTTTCCAAATGAAGCGGCATTTTTGCTTTGCGTGTAAATCTTGGCAAATCATGTGACTGTATTCAGTAGTGAACTGCAGTCCTAAGTTTACATTGGACAAATGATAAGTAATAGATACGTCATTGCCTCCCTTTATGGCTTTCTTAGGTGACTAGACAGAGTGGTACCAATTGACTGCGAAAAGCAAATTGCATGTTACCCAGATGATACTGGTTTACCAAGACAATATGAAGACCACGATTCATCAAAACAATTTTTTTTTAAAGAATTTTTTCTTCGCTAAGCAATCTCTCTAAGCTGATCTTGGAATATTTAGGAATGGTATCCGTAGAACTGAAAGGAACACGCACGTCATCAAGAAGCTTAAGTGAGTTAAAAGTGCACATGCCTTGTGCAAAAATCGTATTTATGATAAAGAATCGTATCGATGATGAAAATTTTCGACCGCGCCTTCTCTGAATTCTCTCATCTATCGAAGTCACTATCTTTTTTTTTCCTCGAAGGTCTACAGGGCCAAAGACACCAAGAAAATATTCTCTTGTAAGACACTCAATCCTAAAGCAATAAACTCTTTTAATGATGCATCGTCTGGATGGACGAAAAATGTAAATGAAGATATAGGTTAATTAAGTCTTTTGTTGTTTAAAGTTATTTCACCTCCTCCTGATTAATAATTTTATCTATACAATTTGTTCTTAACGTTATTCTTTAGAGATTTCTTCAGAAATTTATAAACTGACTTTAAGGATAAGTCCTTCGTAGCTATTTTAGTTAAACTTACTGTTATGGCGTGGTTTCTCTTTGGCCTTCCACTCTCACAACTACTAAACTAAAAGTCGTGAAACGCTGCTTGACGAAAAATAATTTCTGAAGTAGATGGCATTGGTTAAAGCTAAATTTCCGGTATTCAAGCTTCGAAAACTCGAGAATTTGGTGGTGAGTTGTTCTCCGTTTCCTTTCCAGTCAACCAGCCGTTAAGATTAACCATGCATATCTCCCGTTTGAAAATGCGGAGACCTCGCCTCTTGATGAATCTATACTGAAACAGCTATCCTGCAGTGCCCTAAAGCAACATGTTATGTAATGAGGCAACGCTTTCTCTTTTAGCAAAATGACTGTTCAGATTGAGTAATTAAGGGTGTAATATCTCCAGTATTGTTCACTTTGAACCCACGCACTTAGTAACTTGTTCCCCCTCAGTTTACACCCACGAAAATTCTAAAAGTTATAATTTCGAGTCAAATGAAAAAGTATGATCAATTCACGCTAGTGAATTAAAAAGCTGCCGAACTTATGTTAGAGGTGTTAAAATCAAAACAAAAAACGCAAGGGTCAGGGCAGTTTCATCATGAAAAGGATGACTCAAGCTATGGGAAAAGAAGACAAAGGTGAACACCAGGTTGAAGTGAAAACTTCTAGCGTGTACATATCTCTTTACAGGACTTCACAACTGATTTTGGGCTGTTTTTATGCCTGATATCACAGTCCTGCCAATATTAGTCTAAACATTTAATAGAAAATTCTTCTCCATTTCGATCCTTGATGACAATATCAAAGCCAAACTACGGGAAATTGCGAAATTTGAACCTTGCACCGGCACTGTTAGGAATCTTTCAGCCAAAAATAGATTATTGCCTCGGTGTTTTTCCCTAGAAAAACCTGTGAAACCACTACCGCGCAGGAATAGTGCATGAGTTAAGTCTCAGACTATGCTGTTTGTGTTCAAGTGTTTTCATTTCCAAGCTTTGTTTACTCAAGTTCTTAATGATGTTGTTATCGTTAGATCCTCATGGCCAGTCAAAACCAAACACAGTAATATAACAAACATATCTTAGTTAAAGTATTAAACTCTTTCCGATCAGGTGGATCCTAAAGAATGATAAGCTTTTGATTCGTTAATGTCGGGGCCGAGTCTGGCTCAAAAACTTCGATTAAACTTCTCTTTTAGTCTTGTTAATCCCTCATTCCATTGTATGAAAAGTTTATTATTTTAAACTGTGTCGTGAGATAGTGACAAAGATGGGGGCAATGATGGGACTCAAACCAGTAAATATTGGCAAACAAAATTCAATATTTTACTGAAAGTGAAAGTAAATATTTATCAAACTTTTTATTTAAGAATCCTTCCAAGACTTAGCCGGTTCTTTCTCAGACGTTTTCTAGGCTTGTAATACGTGATTATGCAACGATAGTCTTTGATTCATAACTAATTTACTCGCAACAGAGTGATTGATTCTATTCGTGTGATAACGGTAGGTCGCGTGCACGTGAAAAAGTCTAATAATGCTAGGCTTTAAATCCTCTCAATGAAAACTAATAAACAGAGTTATTCATTTGATAAGTTTTCAATATGTGTTTCTTTGTTTTTTGCGGCGTTTGCACCATCTGTTTATTGTCTTTCTTTTTATAAGAAATTAGAATATTATGTGGAAGTTTTGAAGATGCGCTCACGGAAACATCGATTCAAGGAAAGCTGTTCTTCAGTTTTTCATGGGAAACAAACAATCAACGAAACCGGCAATGAAAAAAGACAAAAAAGTTGCAGGATACCGCGCTCACAGACATCACTTAATGGTTTATTTGTTCTTTTAAAATCTAAACCACAGCTTCGTATTGCAATTCTTGCACCACCCACTAAATATGATGTAAAAACTTGATTTTATTCCAAAAGTCCAGTTTAATTGTTTTGAATTCATTCGTAGAGGATAAAGTTCAACTGGACAGCGTCCAAAATTTTTGTCACAAATTTGGAATCGTCAGCAGTATTGTTTTCTTGGAGACTCGACTGAAATCGATCATAGCTGTTTCTGGCGTGGTAAATCGATAGTTTTCGATCATTGAAGGATGCGCTTCAATTAAGGTCTTATCAAAGACCGATACTTAAACAACCTCAACGGCCTTGTGATTTCGGAGTAGAGTATCTAGAGACGTCATTTGTAAAAGTGACTGACGAACAGAGTGGCACTTTTCGTGGACGTACGTAAAGTCAGACAACCAAATATTGATTTGAAAGGACCGCACTAACAATATTTCAACGTCGTCAGCAACCGGAATAAAGAATTACATATATCTGATATGACAAACAGGTTGATGGCATCTGATCAAATTCAGTCCTCAGTCATTTGAAGGTGCGAGATACTCGCGATGTCTCGTAAGAACACTTTCTTTTACGAACAATACATTAGGAATACATGTTTCCTTTTTTCTTCATTAGAAACAAATCAAGTCACAAAACCAGAGAACCGGATGTCCTTGTTGAAATCAAAATGACTCATCAAATTGAGACGATGGCGTGAGTGAATTGTAGCGTGTTAACAGCAAGTCAAGTGGATAACGACAGAACAGACGGGTTATGAAACGGAAAACTGTTGGATATCCGTCAATAAAATTTAATATCTTAGCAAGTAGTGACTCCATAACCTCGTCTTTACGGAACTGAGCAATTAATTTTCAGCAGGTCTCAAAGCTTAAAATTAGTGCATTATGCCAATTCCGTGAACAAAGTGGTGTTCAGAGAAACGGAAAACGCGGTTAGACATTTGTAACAAAATTCCAATTTTAGCAAGTGACTCAATCAAAGCACGGCATCAGGAAATAAAGCATTTACATTCTAGATACTGGAAAAGCTTAAGATTTATGAATTATCAGTTTAAAAGAACGAAGCTACTTACTTTTTACGTTGATGAGATTGGC